AGCTGCCTTTATAAAGCAGTATTAGCTATTATTTATAATAATATTAAAAAAGTAGTAAATAAGGCCTAATTAATTATTAATCTCTCCTTAGGTAAGATATATTAACTAGTAATATTATTAATAAATTTAGGATTTTTTATTTATAAGTTAAAGATAAGCTGTTTATAGCGTATAAAAGTAATATCTTCTCTAGTCTATATATAGAAATTAGCGTTAAGAAGGTCTACTAATTTAGGTGTAATCCTTCCTTTTACTAGATTAATAAAGACTTTATTATTAATAAGGTAATTATAAAATATTAATAATACCTTAGTGCCTATAGCGTTAAAGGTAGTAATAGTCTAATCTATAAAATCTAACTAAAAGGCAGCAAGAAGGCAGCAGCTATAAAGGTTAGCGTCTAACTATATAGTAATTATATATATTATATATAATCTAACTTTATAGAGGTCTAACTTATTAAGATTAAATTTAATATAGTTACCTTATGTTATTAGATTAATATAGTAGATAAAGGCAGGTAGAAAAAGGAGAGGCTATAAGAGGTAAGATAGTAATAATAGAGGATATAAAGGGGAATAGATATTTATTATTTATTAGTTTAACGGCCCTACTGTTACTAGTAGTAGCTCTCTATTTTTCCCCTTTTTGTTTATTATTAATAAGAATTTAGTTAATATAGAGTAAGGGAGTAAGGAGGTAATAATAATAAAGGTTAAATTTATAGAGGATTATTTACTAATAGGCTAGTTAATCCTCTCTACTCCTAGTAAAATAAACCTTACTAATCTGTTTAATAGTAGTAATCTTATAATTTAATTACGCACTAATTAGTATTAGTTAAATTATATAAGAGGGATATCTTATAGATTATATAATAAATTATAATACAGAATGTAGTTATTACTTATTTTATTAGTTTGTTACAAAGTAAATCCAGACTTTTAGGTAGTATACTAGTAGTAAGGTAGATACTGCTAAGGGAGGCAGTGTGTCACGTAAATATCACGTGACCACCTCCCCTAAAGCATACCTACCGTATACCAACACTTGCTTTACACACATCGCTTTGCTAAATCAAAACGGCGAACTTGTCGGCCAAGCCCCCGCGACGGCACTGGTAGCGCTCTCCTATCTCAAAATGACACATAGACTCTCACCCCTGATTCATGAGACATCTGGAACGATGTCTTGTAGTTTATGACATGGGTTCTGCATCTGTTTGAAGTCCTGTGACCCATTGCGATTACAAGACTCATAACTACCGACGACGTGGGGTCTGGGGCAGCCCATATCCTCTCATCGAAGTCTGTTTCTTAACGAGACAAGTCATCGGTCGATACCTGGTGAATTACAAGGCCTCCGCAATGTCTCAGCCAGCGCTTCACTCAGATCAACCCCATCAACCAACTTCGTTATCCAACCCGTCAACTTTGCGAATAACTTCACTTCAACTTCAACCAACCAACCTCAAGGCCAAAGTTGGGTTGGTTGGTTGACTAATGTGGAGTCGGATTATCTATATATTCCGAAGCCAAATACCTACACTCTATCCCTGCTGGTGATGTCATTCTTGGTCTTTATGTGAATATATAGTGGATGCTCTACTACGAGTCATAGCAGCTTATCCCTTTAATTGCCAGGTGACTCCATTTCTGCCAAGGGCGGGGTAGAGCCAATACATTCGCAGCATTAAGTCCAACAGGCTAATAGTTTCAAGGTACTTCTATCTATATGGCGTTTTGCCTATACTAAAGGTACTAGTAATCTCTGCCTTTACAAAGGAGTACATTACAATCTAAGCAGCTCTACTAGAGGCTTATTAGACTAGACTATTACGTTATTACGCTCCTCTAGGTAATAGTTATCTAGGTAGGTAATAGTAAGGTCCTTTAGTAAGACCTCTATATAAATATTAGTATAAATAGAGGTATCTAGATTAGAGGTTATAATAGTTTTAATAGAGATGTTAATAATAATGTTAAATTCAGTAGTGCTTGCTAAGAAACTAACATTCTAAAACAAGGTTGCTGGTAAAATGCCAGTGCACTGTTAGTCAGCAGCCAGTGTCTACCCCAATCTAGAAGGATTACCACATAGAAGCTAGACATACCATATTCTATCACCCTAACTCTAGGTAACTCAGACCCTAACCAAGACCCTAACCACTAACCCCACATATCTTTAAAAGCCTATATAGCTATAGGAGATATATAGGGTTAGTGGTTAGGGTCTAGGTTAGGGTCTGGGTTACCTAGAGTTAGGGTGATAGAATATGATTATTTTATCTGGAGCAGTGGTGGCAGTACCTTCCAAAATAGGCTTAAATCACTGGCAGACTACCAAAAGCACACTGGCATTTTACTGGCAACCCTAAAACAATACGGGAGGGGTAAAAGTGGAGGGGGATCCACCTTGGCAGAAATGGGGTCACCTGGCAATTAAAGGGATACTTTGCTATCCCCCCATCAGACCTTTTATTCTTGTGATTGGGTAATAAGCTGCAACGGGCTGCCGCGATGAGCTGCCGCGATGGGCTGCGATGGGCTGCCTTTGTATAGTATGGGAATAGCATCATGTGCCCTAGGGTATTCAACTGAAAACAATCAATTCAACCAACTATCGTGGGAAAATGGCATTCAACCAACCAGCTTCAAGGCCAAAGTTGGGGTGGTTGCTCTGAATGAAGCGCTGGTCTCAGCCGATCAAAACAGGGAACTTGCTTAGGCTGGTGATTGGAACAGTCGATATCAGCTTGGTGTTGCCCGCTAAGCCTTCCGAGACAGGTCTTTGCTCTAGACTTCATCCAAATACTCCGGACAACAAGAGCCGTTGGTCCGTTCTGCCGCGTACCAAAGTTGAATAAATATGACCCGCTATTGAAGATGCCGCCTGAGGCAATCAAATTGGCTTCGGAACACACACACACTTCGAAGTGATCCAAGTAGCAGCATTTAGGCAAAGAGCATTCTCAGGTCGAAAAAGGAATCATCCAGACTCAAATAGCCTAGTTCCTGGTCAGGCAATCTAAATCGTGAAGGCGGACTTTCCCCGAATTCCGCTTCTGTGTGTGTGTGAGACTGAGGTCGGCATTCGGGCAAGTATACGCCGTGCTTATGCAAGCTGGCATCACTCTGCTGCCGGGATCACTACATGCTGACTCATGCCATTATCATACGTACGCGCGCGTTTTCCCTCCTTGTTATTCCGTAAGAAACATCATCACTGTTATCGAATATGCTCCAACACCCGACTTTTTCCTTCAGACGGGGAGTTCCGCTTACAGGATTATCTGCGCAGGCGTAGTACAAACAGAAGCTTGAGCGATAGTGGCGACCAAAGTTCATAGGTGGAGTTATCAGAAGAGAAACTTCAGGCTCGACTTCGGACCTAACGGCACGATAAATGCCGCAGCAAAACGCCTTTGGCTGATTAACTTCTCTAGAAATATCAAGACGCTTGGTCTAGAACCGCCGACTCACTAAGCCCAAGCTGAAGACTAGCTTGTTGCTGCTTGCTACGAATGCCTCAGAGTCGAGCAGGGTTGAGCACAGAATCTTTCGAGGTCTATGGCCGCCTAGGCCTCATCGTTTCATTGATTACTCCCCCGTGATGCTACTTGACCCTGTCTGTTTCATTGACTCAGTCATCGTATTAAAGTGGAGACTCTGGGGAGGGCTTCAAAGGCAGCCTTTCAAGGACTAGATGCTAGACGTTGACGTGCCTTAGGTTTTTTTTTCGCAAAAGAAGCACGTGTCTAGAAGGTGGATCGGTAGATTGTCAAGTCCCAGCGGTAGCGGTTACCAGACAGACACGCTAAGGGTCAAAACTAGGGCAGCACTTGAGTCATCAAAGTACCTCTTGAAGTCTCTCGCTTAGCGTGCACAGACCCCAGCACAGACCAGCTTACCCTTTTGCCAAAAAAAAAAGAAAAAAAAACTAGAGATATCGATCTCTATTAGGTTAAGGTATATTTATATCTAGAAAATAGTAATATAAATTAACTTTTTAAAAAAATCTACTCTTAAAGGTACTACTTATTAAACTAATAGCCTAAATAGTATTTATATATACTATTAAAAAAGCTTTTTTTTATTAACTTAAAGTTAAGGATTTAAAATTAGTAGTATAGAGATAGATAAGAGGTAGGTTAGTTACTTAAGAGGAGGTGGGTTAGTACTTGGAGACACCTGGTCTGAGATGCTAAATTTGATCCACAGTGTCTGCCTGTTAACCGCTACCATCCCAGCGTGCTCGGGGAGTGTTAATTAGTAGTGTCTTAAGTGGCTTGAATATCGATGGATCCGTTGCCACATCCTGTGTCTTCAGCTGAAGAGAGATAGTAGGCCCGGCCTCAGAGCCATGCTTGTGAACATGCCCCCCCCCCCACATGCCGTGCCGTGTGCCATGTGGTCTTGAGTCAGTGCTGCAGTAGGGTGTTGGTGAACTACCTAGTATCACTGCATGATCCATGGGTCTGGCTGGTAACCCATCGGATGAACTCCGAAGGGCTGTTGTGAAACATAGGATTCCTTACCCCGGGAAGGGCCACTGCTAACGAACTCTTAAAAGAGGGTAGTGATATGATCCCGTGTTGCTAGCACCATCTCATTCCCAATTCAGCGATGCCGCTCCACATGTATTACCGTACTGCGCGTATCATCTCCTATTTTGCTAGATGCTTCATGGATGACGGGCTGGGGGTGGATATCTACGGTCTCCCGGGTTCTCCGGACAGCGCGCGTCTAAGAGCGCAGGCCTTTCAGTAGATACCTTGCGAAAAAGCAAGGTGCAACACTTAAATAGGGGTTATACCAGTCGTCCACGCGTGTCATATCTGAACTCCGCAAGAGGGTGGTCTTGGATCTCCCCGCATCTTCCAAGTTCAACCCCCACTAGCTATCCTGGTAGTGTTGGCATCTCACCAGGCCCAGCTAACTGGTTGCTTTCTTTCTTTTTCTCTTTCTTTTCTATTCTTTTTAATTTTCTCCATCGTAACCATGACACCTGACAGCAGTGCTTGGCACGCTATCAGACCTCAAGGTCTCGCTTTGGCCATAGTGGTCACCGGCATATTATTCTTTGTCCTCACTACTGTCGTCGTTGCTACACGATGCTGGATTCGATTTCGAGCAAACAACGTCGGCTTGGACGACTTCTCTATGGTAGCTGGATACGTAAGACCATCGCCCCTGCTTTCCTATTGGCCTAATGAATACGATATCAGTCGCTAATGATTGCCCTGGCAATGTAGTTGATTAACGTTGTGCATACTTCGGTCGCTATACGCGGGTGTTTCACAGGCCTGGGAAGCAGAGATGCTGTCCTTGACGGGGCTGCTCGCATGGAGGGTCTGAAAGTAAGCTTATATCGAAGAAAAGGGCCGTCAAGTTCTCCAGCTAAACAAACTACTTTTAATTTTAGTCACTCCTGATTTGGCAAGCATCATATTCAGCCGGTCTATGCTTCATCAAGGCGAGTATCAGCATCACACTCATGCGTATCACGACACAGAAGGTGTATCATTACCTTCTTATTGGGCTTCTCGCTCTCTGCTCTGTGGTGAGCTCAACAAGCATTATCGTGGTTCTAAATCAGTGCCACCCTCTCGAAAGATATTGGGACAAGGCGGTGCCCGGTAGTTGCATGGCACCTGCCAGCGCCACAGCAATGTCTTACATCTCTTCGGCCGTCAATGTTGTGACTGATATCTGTGTTGCCACCATTCCTATTTTCCTTCTGCGTCATGTTCAGATGCGCTCGCAGCTCAAGTTTTACATCCGAATGCTATTTGGATTGGGTCTTTTGTGAGTCTTCCTGCTATCTATTTCTAATCAAAACATCCTACTATGAATGAATGCATTACTTCAAAGGAAAGAATACACGGCTAACGAGATGTGGACATCAGAGCTGGTGTTGCCAGCACTGTTCGGCTTGGCTTTACCCCTGCATATATGGAGACCACTGACTTTCTATGTACGTATCTTCTACCTCTACTTACGATGGCCTTTTCTTTTGGAGTAGCCAAAACCAAACTTCACCCTTACTTACTCTTATTCATCATCAGATTACACTGGCAAGGTTGTCCTGTGTACGGTCCTCGAATGCGGCATAGGCATCATTGCTGGGTCCCTCCCTATACTGCGAACGTTCTTCGCACGCCTGGCCAAGGATTACAGCTCGGATACAGGAACGGGCTACAACAGCAAGTTCAAAGCAATCCATCTCACCTATGGTCAGTTCAACACCCGAAAAACGACGCAATGCGAACTCGACACGTACGTAAACATATCCGGGGGAGAGAACGAGAACGACAACAACGGCAGCGAGGACATGGATGCCAAGAAGAGGATTACCATCACCCGTAAAGTGATCGTAGTTACAACGGACATATGTCAGACCTCTGGCGAGTTAGATGGGCGGAGGATTGGAGGAATAGTTCCACCACCAAAGGTTATGGTGGCTCCCAGAGTATGAAGGTTGAAATCGAACCCGACGAAAGCCAAGCAAGATAGTTCTGAGTGCATGGGACGAATCAGTGCTTTATACCATTCAATAATGTTACATGACATGTGTGATAACAAAAGGAGAACCACAGAACCACACTTTGTCACTGCTTCAACTGGACTTAAGTACTATCACGACAACATGTTAATCGATATGTTATGTGCATTTGCCAAATAGTTGAAGCGACCAGACATTTCCTTGAAATGGTCCGTGAAGTTGACAATTGCTTCGTGTGGCTAGTGCCGGTTGTGACCAATGCCGAGGTTTGCATCATTGGTAGTGGTGCGTATAAAGCCGGCACCCCTAAAATCCTTTCTTTTCCTTCGCGATAGTCAAGCACCCGAGACCGTAGGATGACAGATACTGTTTCATCCCGCTGCTGGCTTCTCTGCTGGCTGGATAATGCTTTTGATACCAATGAGTTAGATAAAGGTTGCTCTATAGAGACTGGCCATAACTTAGAGTGTTTCCAACCACTCTTTGTTAGGTGGTTATCTACATAAGCGCATAGAAGCGCTCTGAGAGTTGGACAATTGGTCCTGCTCGTGGGACCCAAAGTTGATACAGCCGCTCTTTGCCTGCTGCCGAGCTTTCTAGCTAACGCCGTCAGTTCGGTCCGGCTTCTGGATGGTTGGTATGGAATGATTTCCCCCTTGGTTGTAACATGTTCCCCCATCTTCGCCTCTGTCCATCCCTGGAAGAAGCGAGCTTTTCGAATGGTGCAAGCAGATGATGCTAGCAATTGTCTCGTTTCTCTGCGCCGGGGGGGCTGGGATTAGGTCCGATTGACACCTGACCAAAATGCGTCGTGCCATAGCAGGAAAAACAGACTGGGTTTGATGTCCAAACCAATTGTTGCGGGGAAAGTGAAACTTACATGAGTTTTGGGCCAGCTGTCAGTGATGTATGCCTTAGAAACAGACCTGCCGAGCTGACCTAAACCAATCGCTATCTAGCAGTCACATGCATGACCGCCTGATTGTACATATATGGGTTTGGGCAGCATAAGCATACTGCAGGTATTGTTGGTGTCAATCGGCGTGTCACGAACAAGCGCAAGTCGAAGTTTGGCGTATGCAAATCCGGTGTTTGAAAAACGCGGGAGACTTGGGCTGCTTACAGACTCAGTACGTCTAATCACAGGCACAGGAAACTTTCAGCGCTTGAGCGAAGACGGTTTGCAAAGCCGAAATACCATGTCCAAGGACGCTGACCCTGCCAAAAAGCGTCAAGGGTTATCATCCCACTCGTTGCGGAACTTGAGAGCGGCCAAACTGCTTGTTGCATCGCATTCTTAGCATGTTGGCCTGTAGTTAACATGGTCTTATCCAGGAACAACGTTCAGTTCTGATTGGCCAACATACGGCTGGGCATATATGTCACCGTTGGCACTGAGAACTCCGCCCGGTCTTCAGGGCGCTTATTATCTCCTGGGCGCTCGCTACAATGACTTAAAGGCAAGACATAGCGTAGACAGGGATGCCATCCTCGCGCCATCACATTGGCAATCATTCTGTGCATGTTTATCCTCGACGGCGTAGATGTTTGACACACTGATTATACTGCGATTGCATTACGGGGAAGCAAGGCATTATCAACACGTGTCGGATACAAAAAAGGGAAAGAAAGAATGCGCTCGTATGCTTGGCTAAATGTTCTTTTGAGGTCATGACAAAAGATACTAATCATTAATCCCATAACGTAGGCTGAAACAAAGAAACACTCTGGGTATCATGTCTACCACCCGATCTACAAATAAAAGGCTCCGATGCTGACAGCCAAACTCCACGCAATGCAAGTGTAAATGCTCTTCCTGGACGCCAAGCCTGCGGCGCTTGAATCGTCATCCCCATCGTCCGAAGACGAGTGGCTCGGCTCACCCGAGGAACCTGGCGTGGACTTGGTCGCGGCGCCGACGCCCCGTGAAGAGGTGGCAAGCGCGTCGCACGCCGCGCTGTCGGGCTCCCCGCTGCCGACCTTACCGCCGATGTTGGCGACGACGGCTTCGGAGTCGCGAACGGGGATGCTCGCTTTCCCATCGTCTCCCACTTTGACGGTGATGTCCTCCTTGGTGACTTGGGTCATCTTCCCGTCGTTGCCCTGCTCGAAGCTGATCCCGTTCCAGGTCGTGCCGCTGGTGGCGTCGGCGCCGTCGCTGGTCAGGTACGACAGGTGCAGCGTCTGGCCGGCGAGGGAAGCGGGCAGGGTTACGTCAACAGTGATGCTCTCCTTGTTGGTCTCCGAGACGTTGGCGACCTTTCCGTTGAGGACGACGAGGGAGGAAAGCGAGTCGCCCTGGTACACGGACCAGGCCTTGACGTACTCGTTGTGGGCAGAGGGGTAGTCGGTGATCTCGGCCTGCGCGACACGGGCAGTGCACGACCGGCCGATGGTTTGGCCAAAGGCGGCTATGCCGTAGTAGAGGGGTCGGACAAACCGGTCGCGTCCGAACATGGCGGTCGGCTGCCAGGCGCTGGCGTTGCTGTCATACGTCATGTGAAACTGGACAGACGAGATGTTGATGGTGGCAGCGTAGAACAGGAAGTTGAAGGTCCAGAGGGCGGCGGCGAAGGTGTTGCTTAACCCTTCGACACCCAGAGGGCCGACGACCGACATTTCTCGCAGCGCAAACGGGTGATTAGTCTGCTCGGCTTGGGTGATCTGGGCCTGAATGGCGGACTCGAACTGGGCGTTGGTCGTGTCAAAACGCATCATGTAGTCGAGGGTCAATGGGTAGGGGAAGGACCCGACAAAGTAGTAGTAGTTGTGCTGGTTCCAACTTGTAATGTAGCCGACGTCTGAGTTGCTGGGCTTGTCGTCGATTCCGTGACTTTCCAGGTCCTTGATTTCGAAGCCGGTGCCGGCAACCCATGCCGTCGAAGCGGATGCCTCAAATAAGTTGCTGCGCAGCCCACGCGGCTGCAGGACCTTTTCCCACAGGGCGTCGGCACGTTCCCGCCATTCTTTGACGTACTGGGAGCCCGTCCACGAACTTGTACGGAAGCCGTTGTTGCCGTAGAGGTCCGGCTCGTTTCCCAATTCAAAGGACATGAGGTTAAGGTTTGTGCACCGGTCGAGGATCTGGGTAACCATGGTGGTGAGCTGATGGAGATAGTCGGGCTCGGAGTAACCCAAGTTCAGGCCCCAAACGATGGGCGTGCCCTCGGGCATGCGGTTGGCAATGTCCATGAAGCGGGGGCCGATGATGAAGTTGTCTGCAGGGACATGGCCGTCTGCGAGCGGCCGAGGGTTCGGCTCGATGAGCCATTTGTCTTGCGAATCGTCGTAGATGACGTAGTCCTGTGTGTTTCCTCCCAATCGCACGTATGGTGGCCGACCGGTAAATTCGGCCAGGTTTTCAAGGAGGTTGATGCTGAGATCGTTTGGTGTCTCGTCGCCCATGAAGTAGTAGAGGTGGTCGAGCTCGATGCCGAAGCCGGCGAAGGAGGGGTCGATGTTTGCTGAGACATTGTGGGGGACGTCTTCGGAGAGCGTCAGGGATAGAATGTTATCAGCGGCGAAGGCGGCGGAGATGAGGCCGCAGCCCACAAGGACACGGCTCTGCAACGGTGCCATGTCGAACAGCTGCCGGGGACCGAGAGTGACTTTGAATCAAAGTGGGCAGGCTTGGGTAGGGCGACGGCGGTATGGTCTCTGGAACATCGTGAGAACCCAATGAGGAGCGGGACGGTCAATCGACTTTAATGGTTGCGCAAAACCCAAGGAAAGCAACCATTTCATCATTGCAGTGGATCGCAAAGCCGGAGTTTTGGGGCATCTTTGTGCGTCAGTCGAAAACCCTTGTTGGTAGTTGGCACCAAGACTGGGCGTTTGCTCCAGTCTGACGCGTACTACATACAAAGACTACGATGTACATCAATTGGCAACGGGCGGGTGTGTTCTGGAGAGAACAAACAGTATGATGCGGATAAACCCAGTTTTCCTCCCGCGCCACGCACCAAGATCTGTTTCGGGTCCTCTTCACCGAGCCCATTGGAGAGAGTCACAACTCCACGAGAGCCTGGACCGTTAGCCGCGAGAATGCCATGCCTGATTTGGCACGTTCTATGCCGTTGGTGCCGTGATTGCGACGACCGGCTGGTGGGTTGATGACATCAGAGATGGATTGCAGACCCTGTCAGGCCAGTGGGCCAAGCGTTGGCAGAATTCATACCAACTACGGTATGTACACTACCTACTCATGGCTACGGCGTCGTTTACGCTAGCAGAGCAGATTTGTATCCGCCCCGCAGGATGTGCGCGGGTAGCAGGGCAAGCCAGCGGTGATGTCAAACAGAGGTTGCTTCGTGTTTTGCGCAAGGTTGAGACAATGGCCAGCCCATCCGCGAAGAAAAGGTCCCCAAGGATGGGGGCGTTGCTCGGCCCGTGTGCATCTGTGATTGGAGCTGAGGTTGATAAGGTTGACTGCGCCTTTGCTGACGCCATGTTCCTCCTACAGCCTATTGCGGTCAGGATGGCTGTCAACGGGAAGTTTCACAACCAGTGGCCTCTTAGCCCCTCGCCGTTCGTGGCTGTGGTGTCCGTCTCTGACTTGTTACGCTTCCTGCAGGAACAATAAAAACGCGCGTCGATTATCAGTACTGTCGATCGTTTCTGTCCTCTTGAATGAAATGGGAAACAGATCACTCCAACACCCGCTGAAGAGATGCAGCTCCCTGATGGAGATTTTCAATGAAACACCATATTCCTGGAAGAGATGCGAGAGACTCGCTGCGCTGTCGTGTCCCAGCTGAAGCAAGCCACCCTCAGAACGACGCAGTTCGTCACGCCCCGCTAGCAGCGATGAACATTTGCTGGGGAAGAGGAGCACGAACGGACGGACGGGGACGGCACTGGGGGAATCGGCCGGGAAATCCGCGTCGGATTGGCTGACGTCAACCTGATGTAGGGGACGGGGACGGTTGTGGTCACCAGGCTGTCCTGGTTGAGCTGATTGTCCCCGAGGATTGATACGTTTCCTGGATGTTCTTTTTGTTGATGCGTCAATGTCTGATAATAACCCCATAGAAACATAGGTCAGTCAAGAACGGCCCTGTCCAAGCGTCTCCGTTTGACCTTTTCAAGCCCATTCTACTCCGTATAGCCTCGATACACCGCTTTGGATCGAGCACCCGGGCTGTAAGTAAAGACAACCGGGGGCCTGAAAAATGACATGGCTGGTAAGAGATCTGCTGTTCTCCACAGCCAAGGCTCGCACTCCGTCTCTGCCCCCCGTACCTTGGCATACCGGGCACTTCAGCCCCGACGATCAGGAACTCCGTGCTCAACCGGCGGTGTCATAATGATTCTTTTCTGTTTGCATGCCAGCCTGCTCCCAGGTAAATCAATCTGGCAAACAGCGGCCGGATTGTTGAATGTGCCGGCAACACGTGCCAGTCTAGCAGGCGCCAGACATCTTCCCAGCTAAACCGGTCCCGCACCCAGTAATGGCTTCATGGACGACCAGGTTTGAATCATGGTTACAGAAACGTCAAACCGGAGTCACGATTTCGATTGGTTCCTCGTTGATTCTCGAATACGAAGCACTCTTCTTCTGGGCTGGCCTGGGAACAACGTCGCGTCTTCAATTGAGGGCTTGTCCAACGCTCCAGACCGTTTGCTACCGGTACCGAAGCCTGCCAGAGCTAGTCACCGGTTCAAAGTTCCTCTAGGCCCATTTCCCGGGGGCAAATTACCGCATTAGCGGCTCCGGATGCATGCTTGTGGCTGCACTTGTCTTGGATGAGCCGCATAACAAGCCCACGCCCCTCACCGCCGTCAAAAAAAAGTCAAATTAACGGTTGTCAATCTGTCCGTCTCCAAGAGGTAATCTACTCGCCACCCCCTGAACACGATACGACATCCAACTGGCTCGGATGTTATCTTGCAGCATTCTTCCAGTATGTCGTAGACAGGCAGGCATGCCTTCACAATGCACTTCGTAAGAGATTACTGGTGGCTATGGACAGCAAGGGCTGCTCAAATCTTCATATATTCACTAACCATGACCTCGGTGGGCTGGGCGTTCATTACTTCTAGGCGATATGCTAGACCACATTTACCATGCAAGCCACTCACAGCTCAGCAGTACTTGCAGGCACCATCCGGGCAGTAGCCGTGGCTGCAGCTGAAGCTGCAAAGCCCCTTGTAGCTCTCGTCCAGCCCATCGGCAGGGCAGCCATCGCGGCCGTCGCCGGCGGGTGGCGTCGTCGGCTGGCCGAAGGTGGAGCATTGGCACACACCGTCGGGGCAGTATCCGTTGGAGCACGAGAAGCTGCAGAGACCAATATAGTTGTCCGACAAACCGGACTTGACCGTGCCGTCAACACAGACAGAGCCGGTCGCGGTGGGGGCAGGGACAGTGGAGGTAGCTGTCGCGGTGGGGACGGGGCACTTCTCCTTGATGAAGGCGGCGGCATCGTTGGAGTACAGCTGGAAGTAGTTGGTGTGGGCTGCCTCGCCGCCGTCACTGCCCGAGTTGGACGCGCAGACAGGATCATCGCCGTTGCACCAGGAGCGCAAGACGCCGGCGAACTGGTTCATGTTGCGCAAGGACGAGCCGGATCGGGCCATTGAGCCGCGGTAGGCTGCTCCGCCTCCAACGTTGTAGCTCTGGCTGGCAGCGTGCGTCGTATCACCGAAAAGAGTAGCGGCGCAGACTGGCGCGAAGGATGTTGGTTAGTCACCGACCGACCCATCTGCTATATGTTTGTTGGGAAAACTTACTCTTGCTTCCAGGAGAAGCTCCGGGGGCAAGTCCGGAATCGGCCAGGATGTCAGCAACAACGTTGGCGCCCTCGCTGTAACCGCTCACGACGATCTTCGAGTTGGGGCACTTTGTGACGTAGGCCCTGATCTGAGAGACGCCCGAGGCCCGGCCCTGCTCAACCGCTCTAGCGTAGCCGTCGGCGTTGGTAGCATCGAACCGGATGTCTTCGTAGTCGCAGCTAGTAAGGCCGCTGCAGGTGGCGTCAATGAGGGACTGATGACGGCCCGGGTATCCCTCATTCCATCCTCGGCCGATGAAGAGGTGCAGGTCGGTACAAGATCCGGTGCCAGTGGACTGGCGCTTCCCAGGGGCTGCAGAGGCCAGGAGGACTAGGTTGAAGAGAGCGGTGGCTTTCGGGGACAACATTGTGGCGAATTACTATTAGGGTGTTATTAACGCTGCGATAACTGAAGCGAGTGAAAAGCGAGTGACACGGTTGACGAGACGGCCGTAAAGAGACAGGACGTTTGGAACAGGAGGTCGGGGCAGACGGGGGTTTTCAACTCCCATCATCGCAATGGAAATGGATCGCGCGGAGTGCGGGAGCCGTCCCAACCCCCCATCAGTGGCATCTAGAACCACCTGGAGCAACCCTGCAATGTTGCCTAAATGTTGCTTTCTTCTTCGACTACCGGTACACTACCTAAGCTGACAACAGGACAATTGTGGATTGCTTGGGACCTGAACTTCCAAATTGGCATAAGCATCACTGCCACATGGCGCGGTTGCAGGGGTTGGCTGAGGGGGTGTGCATGCGCCTTTTTGCTGGGCAATAGGCAATACGAGGAGAAAGTACGAGATACTACCTGCAAAGCTCGCAGGTTAGTCTGGATGAGGTTACAATCTTTTATGCAACCCCCAGAGAGGGGTATGGTCTGTCGTTGTTCAAAGCGCGTCCAGGGGCGGATACTGTGCTAAGTGTGCTTACATGCCAACCCTCCCCTGGGTTTGATCAAACTGCTGCAACGTGAACCGGAGTTTATTTTCCAGCTCCGAAAAGCTCGTTGCCCCTTTTGCTTTCATAAAGGATCGGACGGAGATGAGGTTTCTCTGTCGGTACGGACAGTTCTCGTCAACCTAACTACACACCGTACCAGCTTGGATCCTCGTTGAAATCAAGTCGAGGGTTGTTATCATCAACACACTCAATGAAGGTCAATTTTCATTGATACACTCTTACTAAGGGGCTGTTCTACCTACACGTGATGCCACGCATTCACCAATGCTCTAGTCCGTCGCACGCCGTACCAGGTATTGCACCGTGCAGCATGCACTATTATCAGTGACTCCGAAACTCCGATTTGTTGAGTTACTACGGAGTATTAGCTGGTGATACGTCAGCCTGCTCCCGGCAAGCCATAATGTCTCCACTAACCGCGGCACTTTTTGCCGTGGTTATTGTATTCTACTCTTATCCATCAACTCCATAGAAAACCATTCATCCGTACTTCCGTCGACATGAAGTGTGTGTGGCTGGATCCCTTTGACCACTCCACTCAAAGCCATTGGGCACCCCGCCTAAACCGAGACATTATGTTGCATTCCCCTACCTACGGTGTGCGTACTTAACAATTAATTAGAAACACAAGTCCCGCGCCCTAAGCTTCAACGTGCTGGATGTCTTGGATCTGCCAAGGTTTTCTTCCTCCTGAGATCTCGAGAAGAGCCACTAGCACAGCCCATCCTGGAAGCGGGCCGGCACCACAATCGTCAACATGCGCCAGGTATCTCAACCCCTCTACTGGCATGCGCTGGAATCGTTGGTTCCACTCCCAAGTTGCTGATGTTTCACTCCAATCGATTGAGATTTATGGAATGGTGCCGCTTTCTTCATCAATCGTGCTTACTTCAATCCATCTACGGTAATAATGGAATTGCCATGACGGAATCCGATACATCGATCATGTAAGATTTGTTTAAACACACTTCTCACAGCGCTCTATCGTTGCATAAAAATGAACCGCAGTCTTGATGAACCTCAACGTCTATCAGAGAGAATGCAAAGTGGCTGTTCCTCCTAGGACCTACGGATACATACGAGACGAAATCGGGTTGAAATACCCTTTCCAAGTGGGACATGCCGTTTGGTGGGCCACATCTGTGGCGCCCACAACTGGTACTAGCCACACGACGCTATCCCTGCTTCACGACAACATATCTTTTGAGGAAGGGGACTTTCGATGATTGCTCACACGATGCCGTCAATGTTGCTAACAACATGTCCATGGAGCCTCTGCTAAGATCTCCCGTTCCCCCTAGTGATGATTCAAACTTGCCATTAGCTTGACTATAGAAGCGGAATGCCGTTGGTTATAGAGCGGGGTTAGCTACAATATGACGTCTGGAAGGACCATCAGGAGATGCAAACAACTACTTGACAGTACCAAAGCAGGTTCAAACCTTCAATATGCTAGTAGTGACCGAGTATCTGTCTCTTACAAGTGTTCTGGTTCGGATCAAACTGCACTATCCTCTCGATGTCTGTGTCGTTTGTACCGTGTACGTGGTGGCTGGGGAGGTAAAGTTTCCCTCTCCGCTACAGGTACGTAGGAAACACTGCTTCGCTCGCTGGTTGCATGCTTCTCTCCTGGTTCTTCCCCTGTCTGTCCCCATCCACCAGATCTTGTGAACACAAATTCTCGGTACTCTGTTCCGTCTTTTGGGAAATAATCCAGTTGGTTGCGTGGCTGAAGAGGAATATGGTTGAACCGCCAATCCCAAACAGCGGCGTAACATCCGCGGTACGAGCCAAAGGCAACAGCAGTACCAATAGCACTTCCTACCACTATATCGTACCAATTGTGCGCCTGATCAATCGTTAAGGAACAGGCGATAAGCAGTGCTCCGAGGAGCGGAGCGAAAGTAAGAGCAATCTTCCAGAGAGCAGGACGATAGTCGGCCCACACCTTCAACTTGGCGTTGAGGTACAAGAACAGATAAACGTAGCCTGCAAATGCAGCCGTGGAGTGGCCTGAAGGGAAAGAGGTCATAGCATTTTTCAGCTTGTTCGAGTCCGGTTGAGTGCAAACATCGACCGAGTACATGATCTGCTCGAAGCCCACAGCGTTGAGTCCTGTCACATTGTTCGTGGTTGCCCGTGAGATATCCGGCATACAAACTGCGAGGAAATAGGGCCGAAAACCACCAATAAGTTGCTTCGTCACAACCTGGATTAAAGTGCCTAGTGATACTGAAAATATGAGGCCAATTATGCCGTTGCTCACATCCCAGATGCTCCTGACGCGGAACTGGGCCAGGAGAATGACAGCGATGGGAATGGAGATGGATAGCAGCGCAGATAGCCAGGTCTCGATGATCCAACCGCGGTCTTGGTATGCGAACTGAGGGTAGACAATCTCCCCCGAATTGTCAAAAGTGATGGGGAAGTTTCGGACTGCCGCGAGAGGGGCATTGAAGATCTTCCGAAATGCGGTCAGCAGCAGCTCTGCTTGCTGTCATCTTTGCGCCAACTTACGCCGAGAGCGGCACCGCCCAATGCAGCTAAGACGAAAATGTCGAACCAAGTAATGCGAAGCCATGCAAGGAAGAAGTCCCAAGATGCCCTCGCCGATCGAATCGTGTAACGCGTAAACTCAGGTGGGGGATCGTGGTCATCGCCATGAATCCGTTGCACTCGACTGTTGGAATGCATGATCTGACTAGGTGGGTCGATAGATGCAGACCTGTGGCTAGGCAGATTTCTCTATTGTTTTACTGTCAATGCCAGGGAAATGGATATAAGTTATGGAGAGGTGGGATTCTCGTGGATTCGGGGAGTCTTTTAGTAAGGTCTCAGGCGTAACGACTACACAACCATCTCGTCATCCCATCATTTCCGCTTCCTCTGTCGGAGCTGACTGCAACGCACGGTAGACGCGTTATCCCTCTGATACAAACGGGTCCGAGCATTCATCTTGCTTTCTTTTTGTCGTTCAGAGCCCGGTAGCTCAGTCAGCCACCAAGGCGTGCGGTGGACACAAAGTTAGGATGAAGGACCTAGTGCAAACTCTCGACATGGGAAGCAACTTGATGATGGGCCAATAACAATGCAATGTTAGGCCAAGATTCCCGGAACGCATAAAGCTTGCAACCTAAGCTGTCTATTGCCCCTTGGCTTTTATAGCCAGTGACTTAAACCCTGCAATCATGCTCTTCCATTCATGTTGATTTTCAAGTATATTCCAGCTTCTAATTGTACACATCCCTCAGCCATGTCAGCTGACGGCAACAAGTGAACCGTTGTTACAAACGGTCTGGTTAGCACGGATTGGGTCTCTCAAGCCGACCTCTATCTCCAGCAACTCTTGGCCTGGGACCCGGCCGTCTCCTCGGACTTTCTGATCAATGAGTGGCTCGGCGAAGTCTAGTGCAGTGATGTCTCGGGCGGCGGTCGGCGGCGGCAAAACGTGCTCAGACTAAACCGCCTGGCCCGGCCACAACCGGATCGCCCGCCGACTGCGACAAATCGGCCCTCATCACGGATGCCGTCTCCCATATAGACATGACCGTCTAAGTGGGCATTTCCCTCAGCAAGTCACTGGCGTTCCTTTGCCATGCTATCTTCATCCCGTGAGTTTAGTATATCAAGAGGTTTAGATCTTGCTGCCTGTCTCCCACGTAGCCAATCGCTTCCCATTCCATATTCAAGCCGTTTCTGCCCACAAGATTCTCAAACGCTGTGATGATTTTGCCCACCGGTCTCCAATCCTTACCAACCTGTCATAGCACTTTTCCTTTTCCATCCTCTTTAGGCGCATCGTACTTTACCCCTTATTGGAACAGATCGGTCTCAGCCTCGGCTGAGGGAGGCTCGTCATCACTCCCTTCATACTCCTGAGCTTGCCGTTCGGAGCGCCATCGCGTAAGCCTTGTGGACAGTTCGAAATCTTGAAGGGAGGGAATAATCTGTTGTTAGACAAGTAAGTCGAACGCCGAGAGAAATTTAGGGGCGTGCGGGACATGTCTGGCTGGCTGGCTTCGCATATACCGTCATCGCCCATGTACTCATCCGCGTTGCGGGACCACAAGACGTGCGTCTTGTCAAAACTTTCCGGATCGGGCGAGCAGTGCTCCCCTCTTGCGACGGCGAAATCTGTAGCATGAAAAATGTTCGCCTTGCCTGTATGAAACGTACCGTCTATCATCGGGCGCGAAAGGGTGGAATTCTACTTTGAGGTGCCTCATGTGTGGTCATGACGAAAAAGAATCTTCTGAACCATTACCGGCGGAACAGAAATGATCGGGGGCGATGAACATGCGGATGCCTAGTTTCTGCAAACAAATCCCCAGGACCCGGAGCCTGAGAGACACAGGATCTATACCGACACAGTTAGCGGGCCAAAGGCCATCATATTAATAGCGGATCGGGGCCAGCTCGTCCGAGGGACTTTTGTTTGAAATGTTTTCTAAGTCTTGCAGCGCGTTCCAATAGACGTGCGCCTGGGCTGGAACGTGGTCATCCATGGCCTCGAACTCGGCGGCTGGCGCGCATTTATGGTGCGGAAATCCCCGAAGAGGGACAACGATGGTGCCTTAGGAGGGCTTACCATGTGTTGGGCCGTTGTTGAGAAGGTTCTTGGATTACCGCCGCGATGGGTGAAATAATATGTGCAACAGAGGCTGGAGGCTTGAGTTGGCTGTGATCTAGTCTAATAGAATAGATAAGAACAAGAGATAGTATGATTAGGTTTACGCTAGCTATCAAATCTGGAGTAACAAATAATGTTAAATAACTTCAATGTGTCTAAGTCATTGATCATCATATCTTGTTTCCAGGTTTCACCTCGTACGTCGTCGTAACAACGATTCCTCCTTGTTGTCCGCTTGAACTACTGGCTGGAGTGTTGCCACGGCCGCCTTTCGCAGACCAGGCCGGCTCAGAGGGCGTAACAATCTGTTCCTCGCTCGAGTTGATGTCCAGCTCGGTCATGTTATACTTGTTATGACGTCTCTTAGAAGGTTTACCGGATCGATCAACGCTCTGTCCACCACCCCCTATTGTAACCAGTTGATGGCCATCCTTATCGCTGAAGCCAGAGTATTTCTGGTTCGTCCCACTACTTCCCTTGGATGATCTCAGCCAACGTGACCCAGAGAAGAGTGGTCTGATACACGCTGCATTGACTGCAATAATTCCGACGAACTGTTAAAAGGGAGCAATGTTAACCTATTGAGTGTTTTGGTGACGTTTGTCTTTATCATCGGGTACGAGTGTTTGGATGTTCTTACTGTTTCTCTGATCGCCCAGATGGTGCTGACATTGATGCCATCAATGTCCTTCAGCGATAAGATGCAGCGAAGCAATGCTGCAATCATCACGAAAACTCCTGAGCAAAGCAGTACACCGATGGCCAACTTCCTTTTGAGACTGAGTTTGACCGCCCATAGTAGAGGTAACGGTATCGATACAATGAGCATGTCCGTACTGCATTTTCTTGTCAGTGGCTGCTGTTGAACCCTGGGACGCCTTGTTACGTACGATATATTGAGCACCACCAAACTCAGATAGTTGGCCACAGCCAGGGTGCACTGATCTGAAGGAAGTGTTAATGGACGCGTCAGAATCATCGTCGGGTTCAAGCTAACATACCTCCTGGGAAAGGAACCACCTGCCAATTCTTGTGGACCGGGGTGCAATGACACCAGATCACAAGAATCACCCCCATGTAGGCCAAAATGGTTGCAATAGCTGTCCACTTGACAACCCTTTGCTGGCTTGTTGCAAGCCTTTGCGTGCCGACACGTCAGTCAGATGGTTGCGGAACATCAAGTCCCAAATAAAAGAGAACACTTACGTGATGCGGCTGAAGAAGAACAGGATGCAAGCCTTTAAGCACCAGATAAGAGTAACGTAAAAGTTCCAGCCCGCCAGCAGGCACTTGGAGCCGAACTCAAGCTGCGCAATCTTGTCTGCCGTCAATGTGGCGCCGATATCGTCCGTGATTCCGATGTTGGTTCCATTCTGGCCTGCAAGGGTGTTAGAGAGGCAAAATTGATAAAGATGAGTGATGCACGCACCAATGAGCTCCAACATTACCAGCTCAAGCTGAGAGAAGAAATGGTTAGAGGGTGTTGCACGAATGACGACTTCTGATGACCTCAATCCTAAGTCGTTTGTGCTACTTACTGTCCAGAAAATAAGACAAAGGACAGCGAAGTAGTCATCGCCTTGCCAGTTGAAACCAACAATTTTCCACCTCGAAAATATGCGAAGAAGGATAACTAATACCCCAAGTCCATACTCTGTCCAAGCTTCTGTTTGGAAAGGTGTTGCCATTGCGGTTGTGGTGAAATAAGCCGAGGAGCCAATCTTGCCAAACACTAAGCGCAGATTTACGGGTGGTCGAGATGGACGTTGAAAACGTCTTTCTGCCTCGACGGTGGATTAAGACAGCGGCTCGTCTTGGGTTAATAGCAGCAACGCTTTCCGCAGCTTCTTGCTCTGCTTCAAGCGAATGTACTTCAAAATTCACAGCAAAGCCTGATTCCCCTGCCCCTGATTCTCGTAGACATCGGCGTACTCCGTACGTTCCAAAGAACTGCCACTGATGGGCAGGCGAGACCATGGACATCAGGGGCCCTGGTCAGATGTTCCGGCACCATGTCCAGACAGAGCTAGGTTTGTGCAAATCATGCGGTCAATGATAAATCTGAAGCCCAGCCTTTCAAGTCGGTCCCTGTTCGAACCGAGATCCAACAGGGAAGATGAGGGTCGTGCTGGAAACAAGAGGGCAGAATTTTTCTCTCGCAATTTCTGACTGGAACGTTCTTACTTAATGATATACATCCAAATGCCTATATTTTTCAAACACTGCCCTATTTCAGGTCCACACTGCGGCCTTCACTCTTTCAACTTAGTTCTCGACTGCTGAGACGAACTGCTGCTAGGCAAGCTTCGCGAATATGAGGCTCAGCATCTGGAAGGCATGCGAGCCGGTCTGAAATTCCCGAAACATATTATAGCGCTTAGATATAACTATAGTACATGAATCCATCCAGCCAAGAAGTCATCCCCTAGTCATTGAAACCTAGCCCCATATAGCCTCATCGTTAGGTAACTGTTCAGGAGGGGAGGCTAACCGGATTTATTCGGCAGCATCCTACCGGTTCAAGCAAAAAACAAATCATCCTGTCGGAATCTTCTCGCCAAGCACCGTTGGAGAATAGGGGTGAGCAAACAAAGGTTCAGATATGCATATCCGTACGAGGGATGGAGAATACGCCATCCTCGGTAATATTTTCAGCCGCCTAAGACGCGTAATTATACCTAGTTCAAATTTTGCAATACCTTGTCTTTGTTACATCTAAGCGGTTACTACTCCAATTCTTGTATTTTCCCGTGGGGTTTGCTCCACCCTCTAGTCCCTCATATTAAACGCTCAAGGAGCAAAGCTTTGATAAAATGATGTATATTTTCTCGGACAGATGGATGCTCGTTACCTATACACACCGTTCCCGTCTGGTTCCGTCCGGCCCCATTTCCCGGGTTTAGGTAGTGGATACCACCACACCGGGGCCCCAGGGTTTGATGTTCTAGTGAATGTTACCGTCAACTTAACGGGGTTGGTTCCCCGCGAATTCTGCCCACGACGACTTCTTGTGTAACGCTCCGAACTCAAATGGTTTAAAGGGATAAGTCCCATAACGATGAGAGTCACAGCTACCTTCCAAAATTGTTGTTGAGGTAGTCATATCGGGTTAACGAGAGCGAATGATTGAAAGCTTTAAGTGACGCCCGTATCGTCGTTATCGAAGGCTGCAAAGCATGAACGAGTCAGCCATTTCTGTTGGACTGTCCATAACTACACGCCAAGCACTTACTTTTTAGCGCTGTATCGTCATTGGTCTTCAAATACTCGCTAAAGATGATCGTCTTTCCGCCCTTGTCCGATGCGCATTCTTCATCGACCGACCATAATTGATGCAACTCCAGGGGTCATCATACGAGATTGGTCTAGGGCATAAGTATGAACCTCTTGGCGACCCTCATAGAACCCTCATTCCTGCCTTGTTCTCAAATAAGATGGAGGCTTGGAGATATTCACCACCAACAGTCTCGTTTTGAGTCCGTGAGACCCCTAGACTTCGGGCCAGCTAATGTGGAGAGACTAGGTTCTGCGGAAGGCCTTATGTGCCGAATATCCTCCCCCTGCATCCTTAGTTCTAACCCGTCAAGCTTGTAAGACAAAATCACATACGGAGTAGCTGAGGTAAAATTCCCCTCTCATCGCTACACTACTATAGTGTGATGGACAAATACGGAGTCCCTAACAGGTAGTGTGGAGTTCATAACTCACGTACGTCGAGACTTCACTAGCCAAATCTGTACCGGATGTGCACAAGAACCTTGGAGTTACCTATTCTTGAGATGAAGGAGCACGGCCACATTTACGTAACGAGGGGGCTAAACTTTGGCTGATACCGTAGTATTACCGAATTCCCATACTGGAAACCCTTGGCAACGGTATTGTCTTGCCTTTCTTGTTCTCATTGGTGTTCGGTGCATGAATGCTACCGTCGGCTTTGGCGGCTCGGAGAGAAGCCCCGAATGCTGGCCAAGGGACACATACAAGAAGACTGGCCTGAGCTACCAATAATAGATACTAGTCCGCTTTGCCCTCTCTTTTCTGTTAACATAAGGCCAATTTTGTTCGCTGTCGCCAAGTTACTCAAGCCGTTCTGGTTGTTACCATCAACATGGGATCTACGCCACAAGATATCACCTACGACTTTGTAATTTGCGGGTAAGCTCTCTGATCGACATCAATCGAAGTAGCGCTTCGTCCCGCCGCGGTCGCTGATTATGTTCTCTTAGAGGGGGTACCTCTGGATGCGTTGTTGCATGCCGTCTTGCCGAGATCCCTGGGGCCAGTGTTTTGGTCATCGAAGCTGGCGCGCACAATGAAAACCTCGAAAATGTCCACATGGCAGGGGGGTAAGGCGCTGACTGCCCAACGGCCCAAGGCACGGCCTAAACGCTGCCATTAGAATGCGACTAACATGTGTTTTCTACCCACAGCTGGTCTCAGTTATTTGACAAGGAAACTGATTGGAATGTCATCAGTGAGAGGAAGCCTGCTGTCAACGACCGGCAGGTAAAGTTGAGTCGTGGCAAGTTCCTTGGTGGGTGTTCTGGCTGTAACGGCACGCTTTGCATCCGTGGCTCGAAGCAAGACTACGATGACTGGGGAGTCGATGGCTGGAGTGGTGAAGATTTCTTCAAGTACATTCGCAAGGTCTGCACACTCTTAACTCTTAACCTAAAGACTCTATCCCTCGTCCAACATGTGTTCAGCATGTAGCTATTGCATTGCCGAATATATACTCTGAGAAAGATGCTGATATTGTTGGCAATCATGATAGGCAGAGAAGTTCCATGGTAAGTCTTGGTTTGAAGCATCCGATGACCATGGAACCAGCGGCTACTTGAACATCGAACCTCACGATCTCGCTCCCATTTCCAACCTCATCATGGACTCAATGGTTTCTAAGGGACTGCCCCTTGACCATGATATGTTTTCCCATGGAAATAACCCTCATGGATGCGGACATGCTCCCAGAACAGTCCACAATGGACTACGTAGCACTGCCGCGGACTTTGTTACGAAGGAAAACAAGAAGAACAACCTTGATCTCATGGTTGAGACGCATGTCGAAAAGGTCATCATCGAAAACGCAGATGGCGAGCTTAGGGCTACTGGCGTTCGGGTCATCAAAGCCGATGGCTCCGCGGTCCAGATAAAGGCTAGAAAGGAGGTAATTGTTAGCGGCGGTGCCTACTGCAGCCCTAACATTCTCAACCGATCTGGGATCGGGGCGAAGTCTGAGCTAGAGGCGTTCGGTATTCCGACTCTGGTTGACTTGCCAGGCGTCGGTAAGAACCTAATGGACCATCTCGTAAGTTCCCGTAAGGTTCTATTGTTCGCAGAAGAAAAGTCACTGATGATGTTATTTTCCCAGATTGTATTCATGTTTTACGAGACTGAGAAAGCCGGACTTACAAACGACCATCACGTCTACCACGGTGACAATTTTGCCAAGACATACGCCCTCTGGAAGGATCAGAAGGCCGGCTTTCTTTCATCTTTCCCTTTCGGTGCATTTGCTTACGCTCGTCTGGATGAGCGTCTCGCCGATTCGGATCTGTGGAAGAACGCACCACGTGCTCCTGGCCGTGACCCGATGGGCCTGACACCGAAGCAGCCAAACATCGAATTCTTTACAACGGAGTGCTATGGTGGACCAAAGCAATTCGATAAGTTCCCGACTGATGGGAAGCATGCTTTTAGCATGATTGCTGAGCTATTCGGCCCTCGCTCTCGTGGCACGGTGACCCTCCGAAACACCGACGCCACAGCTGTCCCGGTGGTTGACACCAACTACCTCGCTGACCCTCTTGATGTCGAGGTCCTGGCAGAGGCGTGTCGGTTCGGCAACGAGATCATCATGGAAGGCAAGGGTACCAAGGATATTGTCAAGGGTTCCTGGCCGAGCGACCTGGTCCACCACAAATACAGTACCCGTGAGGAATGGATCCCCTACGTTCGTGACAATGCGACAACTTGTAGGTTCTTCGAATGCGAAACCCAGGATGCACTTGCTAACGACCATCATGTAGGCTACCATGCCGCTGGGACTTGCGCTATGGGCAATGCATCAGACCCTAACGCCGTTGTCGACCCTACTCTCACTGTGAAGGGAGTCAAGGGTCTCCGAGTGGCCGACTGTAGCATCATGCCTATTCTTCATGGAGGCCACACACAAATGCCTGCGTATGGAATCGGAGAAAAGGCTGCTGATCTCATCAAAGAAGCATGGGCATTGTGATCGCGTCAAGTAGGCTTAGAAAAAAGTCAGGTAAAAGTCGAAACTGCTTCTTTCCCCCGAGGCTGAAAATCGGATGGCATGACTGCAAAATCAAAACATAAAATCACCAAGACTGGCCATTGTCTCATTCTGATGACACCATAAAGCAAATCGTCGAATTTATCTTCGATCATTCAACCCCCGGCCCGGTGCTAGCGTGGCTCGGAAAGAACAGGGATGAAAACCGAACAGTCTGTCTGTGTCTATGTCTTGAAGCAGCAGTAGTAAGATATCATAGAGCTACCATTCTCGCTTTTATTTGAATGCCCCCACGCTATTGCGGCCTATAGTCTTTGGAAAACCGGCATCCATTCCAAAGGCGCCTCGATGTCAATCCATCTGCCCCCCTCATAGGTGTTCGACTTGCCTTCAAGCAGCGGCTTCCATTTGCCATCTCCCTCAAGAACAGGTAGATAAACATTGATTCTCGTCTTTCCAGCCTCCAACACGGGGCACACCAAGTATTTGTCTCCGAACATGTACTGCTGACCGATGTTCCATGTCTCCTTGTCACTCGGGAAAACGTAGAAGAGTGTTCTCATCACAGGCGTGCCCCTTTCGTGTGCCTCCTTCATCAGAGATCGGATATACTCACGCAACTCCTCACGAAGAAACATGTACCTCTTGCAGATTTCATAGACCTCAGGGCCGTATGACCACACTTCATTGGGTGCACCGCTGCGGCAAGTTGCTCCTCCTGTAGTACCGTGCTGCGGCTGCTCCGGCTCGCGGCATCCATGGAGGCGGAAGACGGGACAAAACGCGCCCCATTGGAACCAGCGGACGAACAGCTCACGAAAACTTTCGTCTCTTGGGTCGCCGCCATGGAAACCTCCGATGTCAGTGGTCCACCAAGGAAGGCCGCAGAGACCCATGTGAAGGCCAGCAGCGACCTGGTTTCGGAGGCTTCCCCAGGAAGAAGCGATGTCTCCGCTCCATACTAGAGCGCCATACCTTTGACTCCCCGCCCAGGCACATCGAATAAGGTTGACAATTTCTTCCTGTCCTTCTGCCTTCATGCCTTCATAAAAGGCGCGTGCATATTCGACCGGATATATGTTTCCGATAGAGACATTAGAGCCTAGATGATAACGATATGTGTCGAAGTCGTACACGGTATACTCAGGTTCGGCCTCATCAAGCCAGAAGACACGGATTCCTTTATCGTAGTAGTTCTTCTTTGCTTTCTTCCAGACATAATCTCTAGCGCCAGGGTTCGTTGCGTCGAAGTGAGTAGTGTCTCCCTGGAAATTCATGGCGATCCGAATACCTCGGTCGGACTGGATGAGATAACCCTTTTCAACCATCTCGTCCCAGTTTTCGGATTTTTGATCCACAGTCGGCCAGATTGAAACCATCAGCTCGATCTTTAGCTCTTGTAGCTCTTTGATCATGGCTTCCGGGTCGGGCCAGTATGTTGCGTCGAACTTCCACTCTCCTTGTAGCGGCCAATGGAAAAAGTCGATAACGATAAGGTCTATAGGCAGCTTGCGTCTCCGGTATTCGCGCGCAACTTCCAGTAGCTCCTCCTGTGTTTGGTATCGAAGTTTGCATTGCCAAAAGCCAAGTCCGTATGCAGGCATCATCGGAACTTTGCCGGTGACGTCGGCATAAGCCTCGACAATCTCCGCCGGAGTGTCGCCGGCCACAATCCAGTAATCCAGGGCACGAGTAGACTTGGCTTCAAAGCTCATGATGTTGCGACCGAGAACAGCTCTTCCGACAGAAGGATTGTTCCAAAGAAATCCATATCCCAGCGATGAGACGGCAAATGGGACACTGGCTTGGGAGTTCCTGTGCGCAAGCTCAAGATCGTGGCCCTTGAGATCCAGAAATGGCTGCTGGTATTGACCCATGCCAAATATTTTCTCATCGGCGTTGATGCTCTCAAATCGTGCTGTAAGATGGTAGTCGTTGCTGTTCACGATGGCGAGGAATTCGCGAGCTTCGACATCAAGAGCGCTGCACTTAGGGTCTAGTACATCTCGTCGGTGACGGGAATACTCCTCGAGTAGCAATTCGCCCTTGGAGTTCCACATCAACAATTTTCCACCGCGAGTAATAGAGGCCTTGATTTTCCCGTTGGTGATGGTGGCGGCGTTTGCATCAATGGCGATATTGACCTCGGTTCTGTTGGGATTAAGCAGAGCCCAATCTTCGGTAGGCATTTCGCGGGCTTTGCTTGCCCGAACTCGGAATGCATTGGGCCCCCACGCTTGAACCCAGAGCTGCTCCGCATCGTAAGTGAAGACTAGCTTCCCGTCCTTTTCCTGGAGTCCCATTGTTGTCGTCTGAAGGTCTTGTTCAGCGGTCGAGCTGAGCAATCAATGGTGATGGCGGCGTCCTCAAGATGTTGATCGGGGGGAGAACACTTTCTGCTGAGGGTAGTTTTGCGCAGCTCAGAAGTAGGCTTTTGTAGGCTACGGAGCAGATATGTCTCGGGTTAGGGAGCCCCAAGTGCGGAGTTACTCCTGTTGCCGATGACCATGAACCTATGAGATGGAGATCGCAGGCCAGCACGATGGCACGATGAGGGCAGATGGCATACTAGGTTCCGAATTGACCACTTGGAAGCAGTGAAAGCCGCCATGTCCGCCAGCGGGTGCCAGAATTCCCCGCATTTCTTGAGCGAATGATGGTAACCAAGGGTAAGTTGGAAGTTGGAGTCACCAAGGCGCCGAAACCGACTCTCTGCAGACGCGGGCGCGAAGAGAGCTGAATGTCAAGTCAATGTGATGCCGGTTATTTTATCTAAACCGAGTGTATTCTATGTATCCAGAAACATTTAAAGCTTTCCGTTTCCTAATAGATATCAGTCCTCATGTCTGATGGTTCAGCCACACGCTACAAAGACAGGTATACTTTCATTTTGAATATTTATTTGATATTTCAGGCAGATTTACACTTGTATATTGAGTAATCTACATACATACAACCCACCCCCATTCCGCCCACCCAAAAAATGCCGCTTAGCTACCAACGTGCTAGATAACCTCCTACTTCTAAGGACTACAATATCTTCCATTTTTATCTAAATTAATTTACGTTTGTACAGGCCTTCTCGACTACCTAATAGTAAAGTATACCAAAGATAAGCTTAATGTTGTAAGGTATATCAAGCGTTAATTGCTGCCCGCAATCAATGGCGTTCATACACATGTTCCCAAAAGCCTCAACCCCATAGCAGGAGGTCACCGCCTCATTTCCATATCCGGGTCATAATTTCGACCATTGTATAAACTCCATAGCTCTTTGCGGGGCTGCCAGTCGATGCCAAGAAAACTGCCAGAGCGGCTCGCCTCGGAATTCTTAAGAGCTGCATGCTCGAGAGCGTCTTCTTTGTTGCTAAGCGGCTCCTTCCCAAGGGCCACCTCGACTTCGTCGTCACTGCTGTATCCTTCTAGGCGGTTGATGGCAAGGATCCTCCGTGCGTAACTGCCATTCAAATCACGCCTCGGTAGGAACCAGGAGACTGGCTCGGCCTCGTTGAGTATCAACGTTCGACTCTGGATCTCCTCATCATGGTGGCAGATACAAGCATCCACATGCTCAACATCCGTGGACGACTGAAGCAAGGGTGGTGTGACGACCTCGACCCGGTCCGGTCTGTAGTTACGATGCCTATGATACCGGCAAGTGCGGTCAAACACGGTGCGTGTGAGCCGTGCACTGAGAGTAGGTCGAGCGGTGTGCATCATGTCGTAGATGACGATACCGAACGGGGGACGCAGAGGTCGGACTGCAGCTTCCAAGTCTTCTGGTGTGTCTTTGAAGACTTGGTACGCAGCGAAGGCTGAGGCGCCGTCATAGCTGGGCGCAGGCTGGACGATCCTAGGAGGAATGACGGAGCAACCGGGACGGGGGCAAAGCCTGCACATCGCAATGCTGGATCCTGATCGGTGGAGAACTTGAATCAAGATGCCATTTTCTATTTCCTGTTGTTGTTCTAGGGGAGCTTTCATAGAGAGGAAGGAAATAGTAGGTGTAGTAGCAATAGATATAGAAGACGCAACCGGCCAGGCTGCACCTGCGTTTCCACTTTTAGAGCAGTAGATCAGTGGAGTTTCAGTCTCACAAGCTAAGGGCACACAGCAAAAAGGGGTTATTCTAGGTGAAGGGAAACTTGATTGTAAGAAATAGGTTGCTGAGATTAAAGATCTATAGAAATACAAGTCTTATGGCTAGTTAGGTGACACACGACTTGTTGCTCGTTGATCGCCCTTTTGATAAACGGAGGAGCTATCGTCCGAAGACGTCGGAACGTCGGTATTATCGCTCAGGACGCCTTCTATTGCTGTGACATCATCCTGGTCCTGATTCGACTGTGGAAGCTCTTCCCTCAGTTCAGCCATAGACTCTTCTGCTTGAGCGGCATACTTGCATCGAGCACGGATAGCCGCGCCATATTTGTAAAGCAAAAACGGGAATGGCACGCAGCCAAGTGCCAAGAACGCAGGTATCGAAGAAGCCCAGTTGGTTCCAAGATTCTTGTACATATAGTTCGTAAACAAAGGAAACGCCGCGCCAAATAAACTGCGAATGACGCAGTTGGCAGCGAGTACGCTTGCTGCGAATATGGTGTAAGCGTCGATAAGGTAGTTGCTTATGCCCATGAAGAGCAAGATCATTGAAAATCCGAAGGGAACACCAGCGGCAACACTGGCCATCCAGTGTATGGAAGGGTTTGTTGTCCAAGCAAACCAAAACAGCCCGATAGGACCGGCTATAGCTCCAACCATGACTGAGACCAGGCGCGTTTCCGGGGGCGCACGTCCGCCGTTCCTCTTCCGGACTCGTTGATACCGGTTGTTTTCGGGTATAGAATAGACGACTGCCGCAATCATACCGACCATCAGACCGAGGAATGGAAGACCGCCGACTCCCTGCGACCAACCTCGCTCTTGTTGATAGACAATGGGGAATGCAGCGAAGAGCATGTAAAGAGTCCCGTAGATGATGGCTGTGTATAATGAGAGAAGCAACACAATGGGTTCGCGAAATAACAATTTCCATGGCCTTGACAAGGCAGTCTTGAAAGATTGTGCCAGACTGGTCTTGCCTTTATGATGTTCCATCTTGCTGACATAGCATTTCCCCGTTCTCTTTGATAGCTCAGCAGCTCGTCGGCGAAGTAGGTACGGGGAGTATGTCTCGGGAACCAACGCTGTTCCCAGAAGCCAAAACGTCCCAGAAATGGCAGCCAAGGTACCCATGAGCCAGCGCCAGCCAGCTGCAGATCCAAGGAATCCGCCAATGATGGGTCCAAAGACAGGCCCCAACGACGGCGCTGCTGAGAAGAGAGTCATTGCCAGGCCCCTCTCCTCATCTGGGAACATGTCCGCAATGACGCCACCCGAGTTGGAGAGAGGCGATGATCCGAACGCACCGGCGAAAAACCGGAGGACGATGAGAGTCCTAGCGGAGCCTGCACCGGCACATCCGGCGCCGAAGGCGGCTAAGGCGGCGTAAGTTATGAAGAACACGGACTGGCGCCCGTATAATTCGCTGAGTGGCGCCCAGAGTAATGGCCCCAGGGCGAAGCCTAGGACGTAAAGGGAGACGCCCAAAACCGCTACTTCGTCTGATATTCCGAATTCCCGGACGATATCGTGAATGCCGCCCGTGTACGCGGATGACAAAAGTGATACAGCGAGCGTGGTGAAGGCAACCATCATGGTGATGAACCACCTAGTATTGTCGCTGTAGTTCATGGGGTTTCTGGGATCGTGGGGAATCCATTGCACCAAGAAGGGATCTGCTTCGGTTCCAGAGCCAGCATATTGGTGGTTTTCTACTTCCGGCGTTATTCCTGATTGGTCTATGACTTGGCGCCAGTATGGAATCCTTGTGCGGACTGGAGGCTCGAAGGATTCTTCGATCTGTTTTTCGGCGTTTGCTTGCGCCATCGCGGGGCAGTTCCGAGGGTTGGGTTACTCGTCGGGTGTATGGTAATAAAGAATGCACGGAGATGGCCTACGTGGGTCCAGGGGGGGAATAAATTAGAGGAGATGAAGAACTATATTTGTAGCTACTTGGTCGGACTCACCCGGTGGCCCGCCGGGCAAGCTGATGCCATCGACCGTGGCGTTGTACACCGAACGGGTTACGGGTTGAAACTAACCCTGAACTCCGTTTACACCAATCCCCTTCCTGGTTTGCTTCCTAGCCCCACGCTTGCCTTGGCCCTTGAAGAATACTTAGCTGGCTGGCATGGAGATTCAGTGCGCTTGAACAGGGATTATCGATACGTCCCAGATTGACGACACGGGATTGAGATTGCTGGACCGTTTTGAAGTCAAAGTGACGCGTCACGCTACTACAGTCTACGGAGTATGATCTGAAAGATCTTTGAGGCTCTCGAGTCATCATTTCTTTCCCATTCAAGACGTCAGCTCATCTGATTCTAGTTCCTAGTCGGATTTCTTTTGAGGGCCTACATTTGCAGTTTGACCCAAATGGGTTATTCCGTACGCGACAAATCACCTAATCGATTTCAGCATTTCGTCAATATTCTTACATGTTACCATTAGAGCCGCGGAACCTTCGGCATCCAACCTACTCTCGGCATCCGTAAGGGACTTTACGTAAAACCAATTGGTATGCGAGGTAAGACCTAGAGTCTTTACATCAGCTGCAGAAACAGAGTTGGAAGCGGGCCAGACTTACTTAGATGCACTTACTGATCTGTAAGTTGGGTACTAGCAGCCAGGTTTGACGTTGACTCCACAAGGAACGGAAGGATTGGTTGTTCGGTCAATGAAGCAACTTCTCCGTCCGTGCCAGGTTCATGGTCGTTAATTAGATGATGCGACTCTCGCTGGATGAGATCTCGACAGCACCAGTGCGTTGTGGTCCTTCTATATTGATATTATAGTATATGACACAGTCGGTTCCATTTGCTCCTTATAAATACCTGGAAGTGTTCCAATTCTCTGCATCAAAAAAAAACTCGCAGCATGTTCAGTTCTCATTTCCTAGGCCAAACATTATCCTCTACCGTCATGGTTGTCGGACCGGTGGTAAAACGTCGGCCGGTCCGATGACGAATAAGCACTTGCCAGACGGACCAAGCACTAAAACACCGTCCGTCCGCATGTTCTACTTTTATTTGGGGTTCCTATTGGGTACTTCGGAACGGCGGTTGAGAGCTTTCCGCAACCATTTTCGAATCCTTTTGCGGGGGATTTAGTCTACGATCCCTGTTTTGCGGAGTTATCGGGTCTGCAGTTCCAACATTTCTATTCCCCAAACTTCGAAGGATTACCAGGTGCTCGTTGCCAGTCAGGAAGGCATCATGAATTTATTACGGACAGTTAGAGCCGCCATGCCAATAGCAGCCTTGGTTCCTTTGTGTTGTCCCGGGGAGTCGGAACCGCGCAAGTTCCCGCTGATGGCCCGCTTGGCGCAACAGAGGACCAACCATTTACGACTTGTCGCTCAGTAGCGCATGACGAACCAGGGATGGTATAATTATGGCGGTGGCAGATACGAGGACTTGACTCCGTGGTGCGTGGCGTCCGAAGCAACTATTATGGCAAGGTAGCTTCGGCAACTGGCGTCTTGGCTCTTCATTATTAAGAAAATCCTCATGAGGACGGGTTTCATGACGCTAAATGTCTCAATTCCTCGTAGCACACAATCGAGGCCCAAAGATACGACAAAACGCAAACTTGCCTTTCCCCACACTAACTCCAAGCCTTCTATACGCAGCAATTCAAGTAATCCCTTGGCTTGATTTTGTGCGACTTACAAGCCTTCTGATAAGAGTATGTGGATGCGACCAAGCTTCTGAAGTCGTTTGGGTTTCGTTCGCTGTCAGAGTTTAGTTATAGGTACTGGGTTTGAGAATCTAAACTTCATTCCGTGTTATGCTAAAAAGTTTGTGCATCTATTATCATTTCTAGTCTTAAACTTCCTATGCAATCCAGATAATACTATATGTTCTAATACGACAAGCCAGCTATATCTGCGATGCCAGCGTAGGCAGCGCAAGCATAATCGGCTTGAAGTGTCGGTACCACCGTTACGCTACTAGAACCGCTGGCTCCCAAGAGTCCCAGCTCCAAGCCAAGAGCGCTTCCCACCTTTGGCCATCCAACCCCACCGTCAGGCTTCTTCACAAACCCACCCCAGACGCCCTGCATGTAGGAACTGAGTTGCGTCTGTGGCTGGGACGCGGCGGCGAACTTGCTGTACTGAGAGTATGTGCCAAAGACAGAGGGTATGTCGCTTGTGTGGTACGCGCCAGCGTTGGAGAATATGCTGGTAGAAGGAAATGAAGCGTCGTAGCGATAACGATAGACGGTATAACCGTTGAGAGCGAGGAAATTGGCCAACGATGATGTCGTGCAGGTAAAAATTGCGTCAGTGAAAATTCTGTCAAGTAACAGTTAGCTCACAGCAATCATCAGTGTCATCTTGGCCTCATACCTGTCAGCCACATCCGTAAGCGCGGTAGTGCCTTTGCCAGCATACAGGGCAAGGATTGAGGTCTTTGTGAGAAATGAGGTTATTCCAGCCTTGGAGAGCGCATAGTCCAAGGCGGAAGCGCCACCCGTAATGCCCATAGCGGCAAGGAAGACGCGAGCTTCATTAAGCGTTGTTCCCATCAAGATGGGAATGTTAGGCCACGTTTTTGACGTGATGCTATTCCGGACGTCGCTAACCGAGGTACCGTCGCCGTTGACGGGGGGGAAGACAAGCCCTGCAGATTCGATGTAGGCTTTGATATCTGTGGCCGAGACTTTCCGCAAGCATGCAACGGGAGAAGACTGGCTCTGGCACTTGAAATTCTGGAGAACCTTTTTGTAGCTGTCCGAGCCAGAGCCTATCAGAAGGGATTGTTGCGACTGCATGATTGCGGCCGAGAACGGCAGCGGACTGGGCGGACTTGCGAGCAGCTGCTTCACAGACTCGCCCCCGGCGGAATCGCCAAAGATTGTTACACGCGAGGGGTCACCTCCAAAGTTGGCGATATTGTTTTGAACCCACTGCAGAGCAAAGCGCTGGTCCAAGAAACCCGAATTCTGCGACCCCGTTGCTATCTCGGGGGAGTTGGAGAACCCAAAGACTGACATGATTAGCAACCATCCGACCATAAGTGATTGACAAGCAAGATCCTTACTATTCGTTCGGTAGTTTATCGTTACAACAACCACGTCTTGGGTGAGGGCAAGTGAACTTCCATCGTAGATGGGTAGACTGGCGGTTCCAAACTGCAAGTTACCCTGTGCAAGTCAGCGGGACTGCCAAAGTCATATGAATGAACTGTACTTACAGGAAACAGCCAAAACATGACAGCCTTTTTGCTTGTAGAAGATACACCGGGGGGTGTGAAGACGTTGAGGTATAAGCAGTCTTCGCTCTCTTCCGGTAGAGGCCCAGTGGGATTGCCGAAGTACTGCTTTTGCAAAGCCGGCGAGCCCCCCTGGTTCGTAAACTGTTGCATGCATGCTGGACGGAATGCTTGAGCAGTCAATGTGTTCCATGGATCGGCTGGCTGGGGAGGAGAGAACCGTTCCGGCGGTGACTTGGCGAATGGTACACCGAGGTACGCATTCGCGTAGCCAGTTGATGCAGCTGGCTGGGTCGTGGTGCCTACAATGGTACCAGATGGAATGACTACAGTCGGGCCGGCATTCTCAGCGGGCAGAGCAAATGCTCCAAGAAAGAAGGTGGATGAGAGGATAATATGTGCGAACAACGGTTTGCGGATATTACCCATGATGAGCGGCTATAGTGTCTTTGAGGCACTAGGAACGTGGACAGGGATATAAAGTAGCTGGTATTCCAAGGTGTTACAGAAAATTTCCTGATCCTGACGGCAATCAGTTACTGTTTTATACATTCTTTCCCCATTGAAAGTTATAACAAATTTTGTCGACCACCAGCAGCCCGGCGCCGCCAAGAGACAAGCTTGGCGACGCCACCAAGAGACTATTGATGTCTTTGTGTCTATTTGGCCGTAGACAATTCCATATGTTGGTGATATATACCTAACCGCTTCTAGTAAGACACCCTTACAAGCGAGTGAAACCTCTCTTCTTGCCACAAAAAGTGCACTGATAGCTCCCTTATCGAAAGACCAAGTGCACTCTTTTAATCCCTCTAGAAACGAGACTAACTTGAGAAAGGGAAAAGCAGTTAGGATGCAGAAAAAACACACCAGAGAATATACAGAGAGATACAGCTTAGGATAAATGTTAGGGTTAGAGTTAGGAGCAAGGAAATTGTTCTGGATGCTTTGAGAGGTAGTAGAGGGAGGTGAGAGGGAAGTGTTAGTGCTACGGCCAAATACCCGTACTCCTTTGTGTATTGAGAGACAACAGCTAGGTAAGACAACCCGCAGAGCCTATAGAGCTATGACGACCAAATGATTAGATCCACTGGGAACTATTACAGGCCGTTTCTGCTGCTAAAACATTCGAGGCTAGTCCCAGAGCTAGAACCACATGTTCATCGCATGCGGCCCAAGTTGGCTCGGGTCGGGCCATCTGCGTCTCCATCCTTTCATCATCTTCATTCCCCACAGCCCGATCCAGGCAAGGTGACGCCGACGGATTAGAACAAGTGGCTGGACCGTCAGAATGTTTGGCTCGGCAAAGAAACGCACTCGAAAAGACATACCACGTGGGAGGCAGTGGGGTTGAGCCGGACTTTTTGTTTAGAGAGCAACGATAGATATGGGCAGCCGAAAAGTCATCACGAATGGGTACCCCAAAGGGCAACATCGACCTGGAGATAGCTAATAGATGCCAGTCGTCAGGCCCGCAGGAGACGTGCTAGCAGAAACGCAGAAGCGTAACGAGGCTGATATCAATCCCCAAGTGCGCACTGGCTAGCCATGCTGCCGCTGGGCTGTAGCGATCAGTTCTCAAATCACGAATGTCCAAGGTGAAAAAACGTTGGCCAGTGCCGTGGCTGGGTTCTCATGCCGGACTAGATGAATAAAATACATGGTATTGATTGCTAAAGGGGTATCATTGAGTCATTATTTTCCAAGTGTTGGTTATGCCGTATTTCTTGCCCCAGCTCTGGCCCGGAGGAACGCCGCATGCCTCTGCGAGTGGTATTTGACATCGGGGGGATGCAACGGGTTGTAGAGGATGCGGCATATCTTGCATTCCATGAAGGCAGGCTTCGAGGACAGGTTGATGGTCGTCTGGACCGTCGCGACGGATTTCGAATGTGACGGTGGCTTCTTTGGGACGGCAACCACTTTCGTCTCCTCGTCGTCTCGGAGCGTGTTGAGCTTGCTGTTGGTGGCCTCCTTCAGCTCTTTTCCGCTTTTTGTCCTCGAGCTCCTCAAAACCCTCCCAGTCCTCGTTGTGTCAATGTTTCCACCTTTGTCATCGCCGTCCTTAGCATCCTCCGCGGGATCTGATGCGGGCAGTATAGGAGTGCTGGGCCGCAACCTCAGTCTGCGGGGCTCTTTGATTTTGCGGAAGACCGGAGGCGAGGACGGCGGAGTGTTGATCAGCTTTTCCGAGTCGGACAACGGGTCGGAGGACTCGGTGGCTGAACTCGATCGGCATGGCTTAAAGTAACTCAGGATCGAGCTCTTGGGTATGTTGCTGGACGGTTGGGTGGGTTGCGCCGGATGAAGTCTCGGAAGCTCTGGTGTCCGTGTGGCTGGTTCCGCAGTGGCTCTGCGCTTCTTCAGAAGCCCCGGACCTGTGTCATTGTCTTCTGTTGGGCGTGACCGTTTGCTGTATGTCCGCAGATTACGCCTGAATGAAATTAGTCCGAGTCGTGGCATGTGAGGCCAAGTATAGAATCGTACCGCTTGTCGGTTGTTGTTGGTCTTGGAACGTCGCGTTGAGTGTTGAAGCTGTGGCACAATTAGTCAGGCTGCTACACTAGGTGAACTGAGGGGAATCATATACAGCTTCGTTTCTTCCCCCATCCGTTCCATTCCTCCCGCGAAAGAATCGGCAAAGTGTGGTGTTCTTCAACCGCTGGTGTTGGCTGCAGGCGCGGATGTGACGCGACGCGCTCGATCGTATTGTTGGATGGCCGTCAGGCGAGGTGAAGGGAGATATCGGTGGCGGTTTCGAGCGCAGAATAGCTCAAAATCGGATGGTTGCCAAGTAACAGATATTGGTCAGGGGACAAAAAAGAGATAGAAAGGCCGATACTGGCACTGGGATGTGTGTGTCTTGTCTTTTCGTTGAGATGCGCGCGAGATGGTTTAATGGGGAGCTTGGGCGCGGAGGCCCCACCACAAAAAGCGCGCCGCGCGGATGACGTGCAGTAAAGCGCGTGTGAGACGCGTCGTGGTAGACATCTCGCGTCATCACGTGGGATCCCGGGACCCTTCTGCCACTCCACTCCCTACCCATGACAATTATTTTTGTTCATATTGGGGATGTGCACAGTGTTCATGCAATGCGACCCTTCGAAGATCGGAGGTTTCGGGGTCGGTTGTTGCAGGCCGTTCGGTCCGCTGTCGTCGCTGCAGCTTTGGGGACCGGAGGGGAAGAGCTCCGATGCGACGGAAAGCAGTACGGATACAGTCGTAGCATTCGATGTTTCGGACTCGTGATGCTTGTTGCATTTTGTTGCATCAAACTATGACATACCCTTCAGTCGTCGCCGTATTCTCTCGTCTGTGTCCGGTGTCTTGGTGTCGAGGAGCACCGTTGCGTCCTCTCCCGACTTGCCGCCGCCGCTGCCTGCCTCGCCCAAGACCCATGTCTGCATCACTTCCTTGATCTCTTCCGGCTCCTCGCGGTTTGCCTTGGCCTCTGTCATCCTCCACACGTATCCCGAGTAAACGACGACCTCTGCGACAAGCACAAGGATGGAGCCGGCGAGGGTCAGGAAAATGCGCGCCGTGACGGACCACCAGCGGGAGGCGATCCATATCGTCGCGGCAACGCCGACGATGCTGACGAGGAAGTTGAAAATGACCATGACCTGTTTTTGCACATCGCCGAGCGTAACCTCGTCATCGCCGTTGTCCGCCTCGCGCATGGGACGGTTCACTTCGGCAAATGCATGTGCTCTCGACGCGGTGCCGGGTACCTGCTGAGAAAAGTTGTCGGTCCGGGACGACTGCTTCATCATGCGTTGGTATGTCCGTTCCTCTTCTTCGCGTCGCAGATGGGCCATCAGGGCTTTGTACTCGGCAGACTACAAACGGACTGTTAGCGAGTTGGCATCAGACGAACGGGTGGTTGTGACGTCGTACAGGCTCTGGCTGTGGAGGCGGCGGAGGAATGTACACGTTGGCGCCTCGGAGCAGACCCTCCAAGCTGAATCCATCGATACCCTCGCTCTTCAAGTCCCTCCACAGATGGAGAACCTGGCTATGTGTGATGGGTTCCCCGACGGCCGGGGGATTGAGAGTCGGTTCTTCCGTGTTGGGCGTTGCTACAGAAGTGGCTGACCCATCTGACGTCGGTTCCTGCGCTGCTGTGCCCGTCTTCGATGTGTCCGTCTCGTCCCGAATCGATCTCACCTCAGCCAGCCTCTGCAGGCCGTCGGCGATGGAAGGCGTTACCGTAAGCTGTACCATAACTGCGTCTGTGCCTTGTCTCTCACGCTGTCATGTCGAGATTGACACTGATTGAGGAAGGGAACGAAAAAAAAAAATAGTAATTGTCAAAGCTAGATCGGGGTAATTGATGCAAGTTCTGTGTATCCGTACAGAGTACCTAGGTATCCTCAGTACAGGATCTGTACCTCAGGTACCTACCTAGGTAGGTAGATAACTACCACCTCAAACGGCAAGTAAGCTCAGCAGCTCCTGCCGTACTCCGTAGTATCCGGTGTCTCTCCTTCCCTCCCTCTGCCCCCCCCCCCCCAGAAAAAAAGCTCAGACCACGCTTAGCATTCAACGCCTTACAGCCAATCAAAACTTGAAAGACCCCATTCTTTCTCTGACTGAGTACGTACCTCAGCTCAGCTGTCACTTGCAAGCTCACCAATAGGAAGCGGTACGTACCTTACCTAAGGCACATGAAAGGGAAAGATCGGACCCGACAGGCTCTTGCTGAATTTCTCAGCGTGGAAAAAAGGGAAAAATAAAAATAAAAAATAATAAAAAAAGTCATCGTCTCGGACAATTATCCCCCCCCGTCTACAGCTGTCAATTGCCTCAACCCCCGGTGCCGAGCAAGGTCTAGAATAACCCAGATGCTGTCGGTCCCTCTGGCGATTCTTTTCGTACCCCATTGATACTATTCGGAGCACTACCGGAGCCATGCAGCTCCGTCAAGGGGCCGCCGTGCTGCGCAGCACCACATCGATAACGTCACGATCTCTCCTCTCCTCGTCTTCCTCCCGATGCGCCCAATGCCGGCGGACCGCGACCCTCGACCTCCGGTTACCTCTGACCAGCGCTCTGTACCACTCATCGTCAAAACGGTCCTCGGCATGGGGCGCTGCCGTGTCTGTCGCATCCAACATGGCCGCCAATGCCGTCAACCGCGTCCTCCCCAAAGGGGACATGCACATCGACCCGCTGCGGACGGTGGCCAAGGAGATGAAATTCCTGACCGGCAACATCCGCAAGCTTCTGGGTTCCGGCCACCCTTCTCTGGACCGCGCCGCCAAGTATTACACACAGGCCGAGGGCAAACACATGCGGCCCCTCATTGTCCTGCTCATGGCGAGAGCCACTGCCCTCTGCCCCAAGGGCCCCCGACTGCACTCCGCCCAACCGATGGGCGGTGTTGATACCGCGATATCCCCTCCCAACATCCTCGTCGACGTCAACCCGAGCTCTCCCCTGACGAGCCCTGCCGTCGAGCCAACCGAGGTCGACTCTGATATCCTGCCTTCCCAGCGCCGCCTCGCCGAGATCACCGAGCTGATCCACACGGCCTCCCTGCTCCACGACGATGTCATCGACCACTCGGTGTCGCGCCGTGGATCGCCCTCGGCGAATCTCGAGTTCGGCAACAAAATGGCCGTTCTGGCTGGCGATTTTCTTCTCGGCCGCGCATCCGTTGCTTTGGCTCGCCTGAGGAACGCCGAGGTCATAGAGCTTCTCGCCACCGTCATTGCCAACCTGGTCGAGGGCGAGTTCATGCAGCTCAAGAACACTGAGCGGGATGAGCGGAGACCCGTGTGGTCCGAGGACGCGCTGGCCTACTACCTCCAGAAGACGTACCTGAAGACGGCCAGCTTGATCTCCAAGTCGTGCCGTGCATCCGCCATCCTTGGCGGCTCCGACGCTGCTTCGGTCGAGGCGGCGTACGCCTACGGCAAGAACCTGGGTCTCGCATTCCAGCTGGTTGACGACATGCTCGATTATACTAGGAGCGAGAAGGAGCTGGGCAAGCCGGCCGGAGCCGACCTTGAGCTGGGTCTCGCGACAGCCCCACTGCTGTTTGCGTGGAAGACGATGCCCGAGTTGGGCGCCCTAGTCGGCAGGAAGTTTGAACAGGAGGGCGACGTTGCAAGGGTGAGTGTGCAGTGCATGCAACGCCATCCACAGACTTTTTATGGAAAAGAAGGTTATGACTAACACGGGTTTCAGGCACGCCAGTTGGTTCTCCAGAGCGACGGCATCGAGCAGACGAGGGCACTGGCTGAGGACTATTCGGAGCGGGCCATCGCAGCCATCAGCGGGTTCCCTGACAGCGAGGCCAAGGACGGTCTCGTTGAGATGGCCGTCAAGGCTTTGAAGAGGACAAAGTAAGCAATCGACTGAGCAGGGGGGGGCGGCAAGGTCCGGTCACTACCATTACCACACCTGTACAAAACGAAGAAACCTGGAATGCACGCATTGTGGTATGTGCATTCGACACTGTATAACAGACCATCTTGGGCTCCTTACAGGGTACATGTAACGATATTATTATACAACTAGACGGCGGTTGGGGAGGGAGAGACGACGCATGGGATCGCAACCGAGGTAGAGGTGATGCAAACCTTCAGCTCAACACCACAAAACTTCCTTTTTTCTCTTCCTTTTTTTCTCCCTTTCTCTTTCACCTTTTGACAATGGTCCTTCCAGAATCGAGTTCGCCGCGAGAGGCACGGGTATTGGGCGAGGAGCAAGATTCCCAAGATTAATGTCCATCGACTTTCCGCGTCCTGGCAACCCGGCACTCACCAAGGCGCGTTGATGTTGGCACAGCGGATCTGCATGTCTGATTGGGGAGACGGGGAAATCTCTTACTCGATCAAAACACGGCCATGCGGACATGCTAAACAACGAGCGCTGCGACGGCGAGCTCCGTTGAGAGGATGACTCTATCACCTTGTTCCGTTGTCGGACCTGCAGCGTTGACAGCAGCAAATGGCACGAGGCGCAGGGGTCGCTCAGGGATCAGCGAAGCTTGATCGAAGTCCTAAGTTTCCCGCCATTCGAATCAGGGCAGTGGATGGAACGGGACACAAAACAGCAGAGACGAGAAACAGGGTATCGGAACCGGATCGCGCGATTACGGGTTAAGGCACCCAAAGGCATGCTCGGCTGGAGATGACTTGGCGCACAGGGGACGGCGGGTGGGCTGGCTGTGGCCGAACCGGTCGACCTTTTTTTTCTGTTCTTTTGAGCGGGAGGGATATGAGTTCTGTTCCATTCATCGGTGTATATTACATACACCACGCACTACATTCCATGGACCTTGTCATGACCGGTTGTCGGTCCATGAGGCTTCTCGTCACCATGCCCCCCCCCCCCACCCACCTCACATCCCGAAAATGGATCGATGGCCGGTATGGAGTTGGACTCGGCAGGTCGGTCAGCGAGGCGGCGGCCAGGATCGAACCAAAACAAAGCAAAGCAAACCCCGGCCTTCCATTTACTGCAGTCACCGGGAGAAGATTCTGCACCCAAAGTGGGTGAGTAATAAAGACCAAGCCCCACGACGGGGGTGCATGAAAATGGCGGACTAGGCCACGCAAAAGTAGCCGTCTTTTTACTCGATTATTACTCGATCATTACTCGATCGAAACTCCCAGGTGAAGCTTACTACGTACAAGTAGACGACGCCTCTTGCTGCGCCAACATCAGCGGAGCCAGAACGAGATAAGCCGATGGACACGCGGATATGGGATAAAGGCCGAAAACCTAAAGCAGCAAAAAGAGAGAGGAGAAACCCCCCCCCATTCCCTACTCTGTGCTGTTCCGACAACGGCCGGTGAACGCCGCGACTCTCTCTCCCAGTCACTGACACGTGCCTTTTCTATTTTCCCTCCCTTCGTCCTCGGATGACTAACGTCTTCCCGATCAGCCACATCCGACGATTCGCTGGCCAATCAGCATCGCCCGATAACGACTTCGAACACCTTCAGGGTCCGTCCACGTCCACGGTCCCCCGGGCCGCACTCGGCCTCGATAGGCTGAATGGGAGGGTCCCCCCGTCGGAGGAGAATGTTTGATAACGCACCCCACACAACACCAGTAAGTAATAGCCGGCAGTACTCCGTATGCAGCTAGGACTGACTGACTGGTGGGCAAGTAGGTTGAGTGAGTTTGGTTGGGCAATGGTCACCGACCAGTCGATGAGCGATGGGGATGATGGGGGAAAACACCTCGAGGGCAACAAGACTTGGCGGCGTGGACGCAGAGGGTCTCGGCTGGCTGATTCCTTGTGGCCCCCCTTTGTCTTGTCAGGATGGTCCTTGACCCGTCACTTGGTCCTTTGTCCTGTCAGATGTGCATTGTTTATCTTATCGGGGCCTGGAAGGTCTGGAAATGGAAGCTCAGAAGCATTCCGTCTGAACTCAAGGTGGGCGGACTGTGGATCGAGCTCTCTTCCTTTTTGTTCTTCTTCCCTTCTTCTCTCTTCACCCGTCTTGTCTTCTCTCTAGTCAAGAGTCCCATAGCTTCCAAGAAGCTCCTCTGCCTTCTGCTTATAGTCCCCGCGTTGCAATACCCAAGGCCGCTTGCCTTAACTCACCAACCTTCAGCGCAGTCTTCACCATCTGGGCTCGCTTACATCTCGTTATCCCAAGCCCCGTCACCCGTCCCTTATCTACCTCACTACCCCTCCGCGCCGCGACCAAGATAAGCCTCTCCCTTCCCCAGAAGAAGCAACGAACTCTCAAAGAACGTGCTCCGCGGGGTAAGCTATTCAGAATTCGCCGCCTTTTCCTTATCGGACCTCCCCAAGCTCCAAGGCGAGCTTATCGTGAACCCTCCCGGCAGTTCTCTTCATCATGGCCGCCACCCAAGACACCACGGCTCCCCTCGTCGTCCTCGTCTCAACGCGAGCAGTTCTCACCGTTGCCGAGGACGAGCTGGTTCTCACCCCTGCCACGATAACGATATCCCCCGCCACCGGCAAGATCGTCAGCGTCACCCCCACCGTCCTCCCCAAGACGTCATTCCCTGCCTCGGCAGTCTACATCGACTATGGCTCAAAGCTCCTGCTGCCCGGCCTCGTCGACGCCCATGTCCACCTCAACGAGCCCGGGCGCACGGAATGGGAAGGCTTCTGGACCGGCACGCGGGCCGCTGCCTCTGGCGGCGTCACGACCGTCGTCGACATGCCGCTCAACGCCATCCCGCCCACCACGACGGTGGCCGGCTTCAAAGAGAAGCTCGCGGCGAGCCGGGGTCAGTGCTGGGTCGATGTTGGTTTCTACGGCGGCGTGATCCCCGGAAACGCCGATGACCTGTTGCCTCTCGTCGAGGCCGGCGTGCGAGGCTTCAAGGGCTTCCTCATCGAGTCGGGTGTAAGTCGCAGGCACACACCCAGCAAGCCTCCTGTCAAGGAAATGTTCCATATGGTTTGCTGACAGCCCATTGCAACAGGTTGACGAATTCCCCGCCGTCTCCTCGCAAGACGTAGCCCTGGCCATGGAGAAGCTCAACGGCACGCCCACCACGCTCATGTTCCACGCCGAGATGCTCCCTCCCATCACCGACTCGGTAGGCGACGCCGTCCAACAGTCCGAGCCCCCCCTCGCCCCCACCGGCGAGCTCGACTCCTACCAGACCTTCCTCGAGTCTCGCCCTCCGGCCTTCGAGACCTACGCCGTCGAGCAGATCCTCTCGCTCGCGCACCTCGCGCCGGACCTCCACCTGCACATCGTCCACCTGTCGGCGACGCAGGCCATCCCCATCCTCAAGGAAGCCCGGAAGAAGGGCATCAACATCACCGCCGAGACGTGCTTCCACTACCTGGGCTTCGCCTCCGAGGACATCGCCGACGGGGACACCCGCCACAAGTGCTGCCCGCCCATCCGCGAGCGCTCCAACCGCGACAGCCTGTGGGAGGAGCTCGTGGCCGAGGACTCGTGCATCAAGACCGTCGTCTCGGACCACTCCCCCTGCACGCCGCAGCTCAAGCTCCTGCCGAGCCACCTCGAGCCCGCGCCCCCGGCCGACGCCGACGCGCCCAACATGCACCACTCGGACTCTGGCGTCGACATGACCATCCCCGGCGAGACCGTCGACAAGATGATTGCCGAGAAGACGCTCGAGGACGCGGCGCTGGCCGTCGCCGACGCCAGCTCGCGGGGCGACTTCTTCGCCGCCTGGGGCGGCATCTCCTCCGTCGGGCTGGGCCTGCCGATCGTCTACACGGAGGCGAGGGCGCGCGTCGCCGCCGCGCAAGGCGACGAGGCCGTGGCGCCGTCCATCATCGACATTGTGCGGCTGTGCAGCCAGGCGACGGCGAAGCAGGTCGGCCTCGCGCACCGCAAGGGCGCGCTGAGGGCCGGCATGGACGCCGACGTCTGCGTCTTCGACGACGCGGACGCGTGGACGCTGCGCTCCGGCGACATGCGGTGGAAGAACCGGGTCTCGCCGTGGGAGGGGCACGAGTTCGCGGGCCGCGTGAGGGAGACGTGGGTCCGCGGCCGTAAGGTGTTCGAGTACGGCGGCGCGAACGGCGGGTTCGTCTGCGAAGGCCCCATCGGCGAGGCCATCACCGAGAAGCGCGTTGCTTAACGACGGAGCAGCATTTGGTCAAGGAGGGTAGCAGGGGGCAGAGGGCGACGGGGTTCGGAGCATCTGTTTTGCAGGCGATGCCCTGGGAGGCAGGCGTCGTGGACTTGGCGAAGGGCGTTCTGGGTAGATGGCATGAATGATATCAATGAAGATTCAACGACATGACTTGGCACGGGCATCTTGTTCGTAAACGCGCGGCGCCTGGTGACTTGTGAGTTCCCAAATGCATCGCCGAGGTGCCTGAGGTACGGTGAGGCATAGAGGAGTTGGGCTATCGTCAGCTGCTGTGGCAAGCTCAAAGGGTTGGAACGAAAACTCTGTAGCATCGAGGCGGTTGAAGGCGATTCCGGGGTCTGCTGCACGGCAACGGCCTCTGGGATACTGAGATACATCAGACTACCAGTGCGCCTCGATCAGGGTTACTTGTGTGCCAAGACAGTCGAGATCCCGTATGGATCTAGTCGATGGAAGATCATCGGATCTGGAAGGCGGCTCCAAATCAGCGTTTTCTGTGATTCTCGAGGACGACGGCGAAAGTAGTCGTAACGGATGAGGTGAAATGTGTTTTTCTTAGCATGACAGATGTCTCGGGTGGGTGAGGGGAAGATTCTATCGTCATCTCACGTGGAATTGTGGACTGTATATAATTGGGGTGACTATCAACGCGGGGGGGGGCGACATTAACAACCTGAGTTGATAATCTCGGATGTGATGAGTTTCGGTTGAGATAATTTCTATTCGACTTGACAACCTCGGTCTGTTGTAGCTACTCATGGAGTCGAGATTGCTTCCCTTGGTGAGCTGCTCCAGGCATACGCAATCGCCTCATGGTACAAGATGTACATCAGAGGGTCGCTAGCACCAAAAACTACTCCGAGTAAACATTTGATGATGCGGTTGACTATACAAATTTTCCAAATTTCAGCTTCGAAATTTACTCCCCGAGACTTTTTGGGGGCAAGCATAAGCCTATTGGGTTTGGCATTTTGTTCTAGGACATATCGTAATGGTTTTACGTTGCAGAACCTCCGACACGACCACAGGCGAGTGAGTTCCTTGGCACCTTGTTCACCTGCCACCATCTTCCAACGACTGTCCATCTCGGGCGGTCCGCTCGGAGTACTTGCCAGCAGAATGCAAGACTCTCTAAGGAATCCATAAGTCAAGACAGAGGTCTCGGTGGCTCCGCCTGGACGACCAGATTGCATGCAGGTCAAGGAATGACTGATACTTGGCTGTTTATAAAGGCTCTTGATTGATTGTGAAGAAGCGCAGGACAGCTCAGTTGGACCAATACGAACAATATCCACATACTTGGTATGCAGACAGTTGCCCGAGATTCTGCGGCCTGTCGGAATTCGAATCTTCTTCCAAGGTAATATGAAACTTCCCATGCTGGCAGTGATGTTTTCCAAAAGATGAGCCCCGGTGAGAAAATCGGACAGAATGAATCGACAGTTGCTATCCTGGAGATTTTCTAATCTCAGTGGCGGCCTAACTGGATTCTTCAATGCGCGGGCTTATTCGGCCTATCCCGAATCGAACCCTGAAAGGGAGAATAATAGCTTGTATAATGTCGTTGTGGGCAGAATTTCGTGCTTAAGCTTAAACCTTTATTTACAGTTGAGTAAATACAGAGAGTATCTTATGGGGTGGATCCGTCTCCAGTCATCAACTTACCCTCGTTCGTCGTTGAAGAGAATGCTCGTGACTTGGATGGTCGTGCCCGTGGTCGGTGAAGAAAGCTAATGAGCAAATCTCACACCTCCCGGTCTCTGGAAAACGACTAGAGAGATGAACGATGAACCCCAGTCCTGGTGGAGGATCGAAGGCCCATGAAGTCCAAGCTTTTCAAGAACAACCAGGTATAAATAAGCTCCGCCTGTTATGTAGGGAACAACCTGCCCTAACTTGCATTGATGCATCACACATCAAGATATGCGTCTGCACAGCGAGAGCCACCATGGCATCGCGACTATACCTATGAGAACACACCAGACGAAGGGTCTGCCTGCCACGGTTTCACAGAGGTGGTATCCGTAAGCTACCAGAGTATCACATAAATGCTCCCCGCATCTATGAGGAATCAACTTTAAGTTCTCCACAACCAAGGTTGCATGCGTTCTCCCTAAAAAAGCATCGGCCCTTTGCTTAACTCGCTGTGTTCCTGACGTTCGCATGCGCGCTTTTCACTCCCCTCAACAGGGCAGAGTCAGGCTTGGCAAACACAACGCAGCAATTGCAAGGTCCCCTTGCCAGGAACACGACAAACGGCGACCCCGGACGGTTACCGGCTCGGCTCGGCTAGGGAACGACTAACCTACCAAGAGTTCCGGCCGAGAAAGGGCTCGCTTCCCACGCTCACTCGCTCGTATTGTTCGGTTAGCGGCCTCGTCTATAGAGTTTGGCTCGCTTGGGGAAACAGTAGGGAACCTGGCGACAGCGGGGCCGCGTTCCATACCGTATATGCATGTTTACTTGTTTGTACTGACGGACTCGGACACACCTTTCGTCCCTCCACGTCCAGTCAGTTGGTCCCGGCATTACTACGGTTACTTACTATTTAGTTTAAATTCATCGACCGTCAACTCTAACCTTGCCAGCTTGCTTGCCTCTAGTGTAAGCGAGCTGCCGGAAGCGAGGACAGCCGATGGGGGACCCCGCCGGCCCATCGGGTAACGGTCGACCAATACCAGCCAGATTCCGCCAGGCAGCCAATCCCCCCCATCATCCCCATCCTACCCTCCAGGATAAATATGATGTGACGACGGCTTTCGAGTTCATCCCGCCTACCGTCCTAACAGGACAGACAACCCGAGGCGAGGCGTTAGGCTACCGCAAGCGGCCATCCCCCATCCATCCTACCGGTACACTACATCAGGTTCCCCCCTCCCAACAGCCATCGGGCTATACCGTTTTCTTATTGGCCTGGTCGGTGTGGCGGGTGTTCAGCTTGGCTAAGTGTTTCTGGAGCAGAATGTGGAAGAAAGAAGAGGGGGGGAAAAAAGGAATGGAAAAGAACCTGGAATGTTCATTTGCCAAACTTGCCCATGGCGTCGCATTTTCCATCTAAGGAACTCGGATCCATCTACATTTCACCATCTCATCCACACGCCTAACCTCATCCGTCGCCAGAGGAAGTGAGTGTAAGCAGGGCAGCTTGAAGGAATTGATTCCCCCCCCGGCCAAACTGTCCCATTCACTCCACATGAAGCGCGCACTTCAATCTGATTATATCCGTCACCCCGGATCCTTGCACAATGGAATGCCCCTCTTCCGCGTGGTGGAAAAAAAAACAAAAGAACAGCCACTGGTTCCCACCACGCGAGCGAGTAATTACTCCCATAGAGTCCTACCGTGCCTCGCTTGTTTTAGCCTCCATCGTTTGCCAGACGAACTGGTCGATATTCTTAGCTAAACGATTTCCACGTTCCTGGCCTCTTATTATAGACTAGATCTTCAGCTAAGAGGGAGGTGCCTCACACCGTAACCGACAAGACAAGGGGGGAGACTGTGGACATGCATGTGGAGGAGGATGCAGCAGCGGACGCGCGCCAGCTGCATCTGTGATCCCAGGCTCGCTTCGCTCTGTCCGAGCTGATAGGAATCCCAGACGACCAACACATACCACTACACCCTTCGTACTGGACGGTTCTCGATGCGGGTGGGGGTGGAGGGGGCCATGGGGTCCAGGGCCAAGAGCGTTTCCTCGACTGCGTTGCATCTCGGTTGCTACCCGTGTGTTTGATTTCCACCATGGCGGGTGTCGTCGCTTGCAACATATTGCTCAAGCCCTTTCTTTTTCCCCTTCTTTCTTCACTTTCTAGGTATAGTTCCAACCGTTCCAAGGAGCGCCGCATGCATGCCGGCGATTTGACATATCGTCTCATCTCTGCTACATAATCGTCTTGGTGTACTGTCTCGGTTTCCCTCACCGTCCATCTTACGCCGCCGCATCTTTCTGCACGTCCTCCTCGTTAGGAGGCCACGAGCGTCACACACGACGATTCCCGTGCCAACAGCACCACGTATTACCCATATGATCGCCCGCCGTCTCAACGCCTCTCCCGCAAGACACAGCTGCAAGATCTGACCCCGATTCCTGTCAACCGATCCCCGGCAACCGAAGGCTATTTGCTTGTTCCCTCCTCGGGCCTCTTCCATCTCTGACAAGATCACACATGCTTGTCGCGTACAACACATAGTGTGTCTTGTCTAAGAGGCTGCGAATCCCCACCGCCCGACCAAACCATCTGCGCAAACCGCCATTACGTAGCCATCATCTAATATCCTTTGTTAGCCAAGCCTCACCCATCGATTAGCATGCGAGCTTTGCCGTCATAAAACAGAGGTAGAGAGCCCAGCCTGTTGGCCAGCGCATTTTCTGCGTCGTCGCACATGCCCCCCATGTCTCAACCAGCCGGCGACAATTCCGACCTCGGCTCGTCCAAGAGCACGCCTCAACAGCAATCACAACCGCCGGCCGATGACCAATCCACCGTCATCCATGTGGACAAAATCGAGGGCGCCAGCTCTGTTGAAACCTCAATGGACCCGGTAGCGCCGACCGAACCAACCGAACTGAGTCGCTTCTCGCTTTCCGGCGCCGGCCACATCTCGCTCGACGACGTCGAGGCCGTTGATGTTCAAATCCGCGGCCTGGCTGTCACCGTTGACACCTCGCCGTCATGGTTCGACCCTGCGACCTACCCCGAGTTGGCACGGGCAAAGTTCAATCCTGAACCGAGCTCCAAAACTCTGTTGCACCATGTCAACGCCTCCCTGCACCCCGGGACCCTGACGGCCATCATCGGCGGCAGCGGGTCCGGAAAGACGACGCTGCTGAACACCATGTCGGAACGCATGGTAAGCGCACGTCTGGCCCAGGGCGGCTCCATCACCTTCAACGGCGACGAAGGGATTCACGGCGCTCGGCACGCCTATGTCATGCAGCAAGACGTCCTCCTCCCCACCCTGACGGTGCGGGAGACGCTGCGATATTCCGCCGACCTGCGACTGCCGCCACCCACGACGGCCGAGGAGCGGATGCGCATTGTGGAGGAGGTCATCCTCGAACTGGGACTCAAGGAATGCGCCGATACAAGGATAGGAAACAGCCAGCACAGGGGGTGCTCCGGAGGCGAGAAGAGGAGGGTCAGCATAGGCGTCCAGATGCTGGCGAACCCCTCGGTCCTTTTCCTCGACGAACCGACGACCGGCCTGGACGCCACGAGCGCTTTCCAGCTCGTGCGCACGCTGAAGAGGTTGGCGACCAAGGGCAGGACCATCATCACGACCATCCACCAGCCGCGGTCGGAGATTTGGCATCTGTTCGACAACCTCATCATCCTGACCAAGGGAAGCCCCGTGTACTCGGGCCCCGCCGGCGAGTGCCTGCCGTGGTTCGACCGCATGGGCTTCAAGCTGCCGCCCTTTGTCAACCCGGCCGAGTTCCTCATCGACATCGCCGCCATAGACAACCGTACGCCCGAGCTCGAGGCCGAGACAACGGCGCGGGTCGACCGGCTCAAAAGCGCGTGGGTCAGCGAGAGCGAGAAGAGGTTCGAGCCTTCCGAGAAGGTCGTCCAGGCCGTGGGACGACGGCCAGGCGCCAGGCCCGGGACCAACAAGCACGCCACGTATGGGCGGCAAATCAAAGTCTTGACCGACAGAACCTTCAAGGTCACGTATCGCGACCCGATGGGCATGCTGGCGTCCATCTTGGAAGCGGTCCTCATGGCTGCCGTCACCGGATATATCTTCTTTGACCTGCCCAGGGATCTCTCCGGCATCCGCTCTCGGCAGGGCGCTCTCTACACCTGCACAGGTCTCCAGGGATACCTTACGCTCATGTTCGAGGTCTACCGGCTCACCGTCGACATACCGACGTTCGACCGAGAGCACAGCGAGTCTTGCGTCGACGCAGTCCCGTTCCTTGTCTCCCGCCGGCTGGCCCGCCTCTTTACCGAAGACCTGCCCGTCCCCTTCCTGTTCTCCGTCATATACTATTTTTTGTGTGGCTTCGAACCAGACGCCGGCCAGTTCTTTGTCTTCTTCGCCATCACCCTGCTCACTCACTACATCGCCGTCACATGCGCCGTCACCTGCGTGGCCGCGTCGAGGAATTTCCCGGGCGCCAGTCTGATTGCGAACATGGTATTCACCCTGCAGAGCATGGCCTGCGGCATGTTCATCCAGGCGAATTCGATCCCAGTCTACGTGCGCTGGCTGAAGTGGATCACGTATTCGGTGAGTTTCTGCTGCTGCACTTACCCCTGACTCCCCATCCTCCTCACCTTCTGACACTGCGCAGTTTTACTCGTTTGGTGCCTATTGCGGTAATGAGTTTGAAGGGAACTTCTACGACTGCCCGGCCGAAGGCGGCATTTCGAATCCGGAATGCGCACAGTACACCGGTCGTTTCATCATGAACTCCCTTGGCTTCCCGAGCAACTGGGTCTGGAGGCCTATCGTCGTCATGGAGGCCTTTATCGTCTTCTTCTGCGTCTTGTCGGCCGTCGGACTCCAGTACATCAGGCAGGAAATGACGATCGCGCGCGCGAGGAACTCTGACACCGATCTGTCGGCCGGGAAGGAGAAGATGACGGCGCGGTCCATCTCCGAGGTCCGCACCATCAACGTGGAGCTGGACGGCTTTGCGCTGGCCCTGGACAAGAGGGCGCCTTCGGGGAAAAGGCTACCGACGAAGACGATCCTCAACCCCATCGACGCCACTTTCCATGCCGGCAAGCTGAACATCATCATGGGGCCTTCCGGCAGCGGCAAGACGTCCCTCCTGAACGCTATGGCTCTGCGGCTCCATAACAGCATCAGCACGCGCCATCTCCCTTCTGGAAGGCTTACGTTCAACGGTGCCTTGCCGTCCAACTCGGTCGTCCGCTCGGTGTGCTCGTACGTTTGCCAAGACGACGACGCGCTTCTGCCGTCCCTGACGGTGCGTGAGACACTCCTGTTCTCTGCCGGGCTGCGGCTTCCATCACATATGAGCAAGGAGGAGAAGGCTAGACGGGCGGAGGAGGTGCTGCTCAAGATGGGACTCAAGGACTGCGCGGACAACCTGGTCGGGAACGAGCTCGTCAAGGGCATCTCGGGGGGCGAGAAGCGACGGGTCACAATTGCCGTGCAGCTCCTCAGCGACCCCCGTGTGCTGCTCCTTGACGAGCCGACCAGTGGCCTGGACGCGTTCACGGCGAGCTCCATCATGGAGGTGCTGCAGGGCCTCGCCAACGAGGGACGGACCCTCATCCTCACGATCCACCAGGCCCGCTCCGACCTGTTCAGGCATTTTGGCAACGTCCTGCTCCTCGCACGCGGCGGCTCCCCCGCGTACGCCGGTCCCGCCAAGGACATGCTGGCCTACTTTCTGCGCCAGGGGTTCGAATGCCCCACGCACAGCAACCCGGCCGACTTTGCGCTCGACCTCATCGCGATCGACCTGCAGCACGAGGCGAGGGAGGCCGAGAGCCGCGAAAAGGTCAGGAAGCTGGTGGACGCGTGGCGGAGAGAAGCCGAGGCGGCGCCGGGCGAAAAGACGGACGAGAAGACGGGCCGGCTGTCCGGCATTGACGAGGAAGACGGAACAGCCCAACAACAGGCCGAGCCCACGACGCAAGCCCGAGATGCGATTACGAGGGCTTCTAGCTCGGCCGACCGCGCCGCCGCCGTCCGAGGGCCGCGCGGGTCCTTCAACAAGACGAGCCTCGCGACGCCGGCCGAGCTGGGCGCCCTCGTCCGCAAGCGCGCGTCCTTCCTGACGGCGTTCCCGCTCCTCCTCCACCGCGGGCTCATCAACTTCCGGCGGCAGCCGCCGCTGCTCCTCGCGCGCATCATGCAGGTGGCCGGGCTCGGCATCGTCCTCGCGCTATTCTTCTCGCCGCTCAAGAACGACTACTACTCGGTGCAGAACCGCATGGGGTTCGTGCAGGAGGTCGGGGCGTTCTACTTCGTGGGCATGCTGCAGAACGTGGCCGTGTACCCGGCGGAGCGCGACGTCTTCTACCGCGAGGACGACGACGGCGTGTACAGCGTCGAGGCCTTCCTGGCGGCGTACTCGTTGCTGGAGCTGCCGTTCGAGATCATCAGCTGCCTCATCTTCGGAGTGCTGGCGGACCTGGCGGTGGGGTTCCCGCGGACGGTCACCATGTACTTTGTCTGCGTCTTCTCGTGCTTCGGCATCGTGTCGTGCGGCGAGTCGGTTGGCATCATGTTCAACACGCTCTTCGGCCACACGGGCTTCGCCGTCAACATCACATCCGTCGTCATGTCAATAGCCAACACGATGGCGGGGATCCTATCCATCGATATGCCCAGGGTATTCAACATCTTCAACTACCTGTCGCCGATCCGGTACGCGACGCGGGCGATGGCGCCCTACAGTCTCGAGTCAGTGACCTTCACGTGCACCGACGGACAGAGGTTGCCGGACGGGCGGTGTCCCGTCGAGACGGGCGAAGACGTGCTGAACCTGTACAAGCTAAACGTGGACCCTAAAGTCAACATTGCGGCGCTGGCCGGGTGCGTCATCGTCTACCGGCTCGTCGCGTGGGCACTGTTGCGAAGTGTGCGGACGCGTTTGGACGGGTCGAAGAAGAGAGGTTAGAGTTGGCTGCGTGGACTTTTATTTTTATTTTTATTGTGATTTCAAATCATGGCATTGACGTTTGCATATCCGGTGTTCACAGCAGGCGGGCTCATATTGTCTTATATACCTCCATTGTGTCTGTTAGTATTCAAGTCGATTAAATCAGCGTCGTTTGTCAAACTTGGATATGAAGCTCTCTCTTGGTTCTTCTTCAACCTGTCCTGTCATTCTTGTTCCCATCTCCCAACCTCCATGTCAGTGGTGGAAACGGCCAATCGAAGCTATCCTACAATCAGCCAAAAAGCCGAGCAAAAGCTCCTCCCCCTCTCCATCCAGCTTTATCGATAGCCGAGGAAGAGCGTTGAGGAATATGATCCTGGTCGACGTGACATGAAACCCAGGGAACCCGACAGGCGATGATGTAAATGCCGCGGCGCCGATAAGCTAAGGTCCGATTCGGAAGCTATGCAACGTTTATAGTGGAGTTTCGCTGAGCGATAGCGGCGCCAGCTCGTAGAGCTGTGAGATGATACGCACATGAGTCGATCACTCACTCACTCACTCACTCACTCACTCACTCACTCACTTACGCTCACACTCAGAGACGCAACTCACTCACCCCATTTGTCATACATATCATCGCTGAAACCTCGTCTTATCTTCCACTTCCACTTCGCCGCTTCGTCCTCCATCTTCCATCCCCTTTCTTCTTCTTTATCCCCAGCCTCATTCCACATCCTCCATTGCCCTTAATTGAGACAATCCCTACCACACGTTGCTTCTTATTGGCACACCATGTCCGAGAAACTCCCCTTTGCCCACCCGGCGCCGGAGCACGCTCCCCCTGCCCCGCGCCGCGCACGCCGGAACGCGTGGTGGTCACTTCTCCCCGCCGCCCTCGTTTTGGCATACCTCCACGCGCCGTCCTCCTTCGGCCTCGGTCACGGTTACCACCGTCATGGCTCTTCGCCCGGCGCCGCGGCTGCGGGCTGCGGCCAGGTCAATCCCCTCTTCCCGACCCAAAACTCGACCGGCCTCTCGAAGCTGGACTCGTACCTTGACAGCCCCAAGTTCCGTAACGAGACCGTCGCCCGCCTCGCCGGCGCCATCCAGATCCCCACCGAGTCTTTTGACAACTACGGCCTCGTGGGCGTCGACGACCGCTGGGACAAGCTCTTCGCCTTCGCCGACTACCTCAAAAAGACCTTCCCCAAGGTCCACGCCGCCCTCACGCTCGAGCGTGTCAACACCCACGGGCTTCTCTACACCTGGCAGGGTTCAGACGCCAACCTGAAGCCCACCGTGCTCATGGCTCACCAGGACACCGTCCCCGTCGCGCCCACGACTATCGACAGCTGGACACACCCACCGTTCAGCGGCGCCTACGACGGCACCTACGTCTGGGGCCGCGGCGCCATGGACTGCAAGAACTCCCTCATCGGCATCCTCGAGTCCGTCGAGCTGCTCCTCGACGCCGGCTTCGCTCCCAAGCGCACCCTCGTGCTGTCCTTTGGTTTCGACGAAGAGATCTCGGGTGAGCGCGGCGCCGGCCACCTCGCCTCCTTCCTGGTGGACCGCTACGGCAAGGACGGCGCCGCTGTCATCGTCGACGAGGGCGCCGGCTTTGACAGCCAGTGGGGCAAGGACTTCGCCATCCCCGGCACGGCCGAGAAGGGCTACATCGACGTCGAGATCGTCGTCCGCACCCCCGGTGGCCACAGCTCCATCCCGCCTGCGCATACGGGCATTGGCATCCTGTCGGACATCATCACGCACATCGAGGCGAACCCCTACGAGCCCGAGCTGATCCCCGGTAACCCGTACCTCGAGAAGCTGCAATGTGGCGCCGCCTACGCGCCAGAGTTCCCCGACAGCCTGCGCAACCTGCTCCCCGCCGCCGGCGACAAGCAGGTGTGCAAGAAGAAGACGGACCGTCTGGCGAGGGAGGCCGCCAAGGCCGGGCCCCAGATCAAGTACCTCTTCACGACCTCGCTGGCGACCGACATCATCGAGGGCGGCGTCAAGATCAACGCGCTGCCCGAGCGGGTCCGTGCCGTGGTGAACCACCGCGTCAACGTCGGTGACAAGACGGCCAGCGTCAAGGAGAGGCTCGCCGAGATCGTGCGCCCCATCGCAGACAAGTACAACCTCACCCTGCACGCCTTTGGGGAGGACGGCAAGGCCGAGACGCCGTCCAGCATCACTCTCAGCGGCAACGACAAGCTATTGGAGCCCGCGCCCATCACGCCAACCGAGGTCGACGGCGTCACCCCCTACGGCATCCTCGCCGGCACCACGCGCGCGCTGTACGGAGAGGACCTCATCGTCTCACCGGGCCTGATGACGGGCAACACCGACACGCGGTACTACTGGGACCTGACCAAGCACATCTTCCGCTTCTCGCCCGGCTACGACGCAGAGAGCGACGAGTGGTCGGGCATCCACACGGTCGACGAGAGGACGAGCGTCAAGGGGCACATCAACCTCGTCAAGTGGTACACCATCTTCGTGAGAAACGTTGACGAGGCAGACTTCTCCTGAAGGAGCTTTGTCAATGTGGTCTGGGGCCCTGTATTGCCCCTCCCCCGCTTTTCATTTCTCATGCATGTATGTGCGTGCCCCATTGCGCCTGTGGCTATCCCGGCTTCCTCGACATTATTCCTGGAGGAAGGGGGTTCCTGTTGCTATCTGTATAGAAGAATCCAGGCACTGGTAGGGAGAGACGCACACAGTCAGCCGAGGCACGGAGGAAACAAGGATACCAGCAGGTTGCCGAAACACGTAAAACCACTCAATTCATGAGAATACGATGTGATTCTGATAAGATTTTGTCATCAAAAAAGGGGCCGTAATTATAGTATTCTCTACAACACTCTTCCGGGCACACTATCCTCTGGCCGCTTTCCACTGTTTGGTATCCATCTACCATTCCCGATCAGCCCAATCAGGTGCTCCCACTCCCCATCATCTCCAAATAAGCGCGGTTAAACAAACAAACAAGGTCGTCTTTGCTACCATCTAGCACTTCCTGCATTTTCCGGTCGCAATATCGCAGCAGTCGCAGGCGGAGCCATCCTGAGTTGCATGTTAGAACCCGTCGTATTGCTAGTTACGCATGGTCTTGTGGTTGGAGATTGGAAACTCACGGCGAGGTTGGTGCACGGAAGAGGGCAAATTGATACCGCGCAGTACGATGAGGTAAAGGAGACCTTCCAGAGTTGCGGCTGTTGTTCGTTTATGTTAGCATACCAGTGGCTCCCAACTCCAATCGAATTTAGACAAGACATACCGGGCAAGCTCCAGGGCCGTTTGTGTTGGTGTAGCAGCAAGAGTCCCAGTAGCACTGTTCAGTTTCATGATGGTTAGCGCTGTTCTCTCGGGCGTACTTAGGCACTAGCCAGATACCAAGTCGGCGTCTGAACCATCTCGTGACACTTGTAAACCCCGCGTCTATTCTATCCTAGGTCTTACAATAGCAGCCGCCTGGTCGAATGCCGCAAAGGCAAGGACGGTGGCGAAAAGCGAAGTAGAAAGATGCATGGCGAGCTTGTTTAAGAGGGGTTGGATTAATAGAAAGGAGTGAAATTCGGGTCGAGACCGTCAAGTGAGTGACTGGATGATTATTTAGATGGATGGTAAACGAGGGTGATGGGCCAATGTCAGTGTGCTGCAGACAACGACATCGGGGCATTCATCACGGCGAAGATGCACCATGACTTATATATCGAACCTGTGCCCCCTTTGCTTGGCTACTCCTCGGGGTATAACCGTTTCCGGGGTTGGGCAAGGGGTCCAGATACAAGAGTCATGTCACGATGCGGACTCGCCGGGGCAGCCTTGCTTCCGATAAACGCATGTAGGGCCAACACTCGCACACGGGGCACACCTTGTTCAACTGCTAATTTTCGTCAGAGTTATCTTAGATCAGCCGCAAAAGAGATAGCTCAATGCCCCGGGAAAACACTACACTACTCAACTCTGCTCTGACACCTATGCTCCTTCAATGAAGCATTCTTGTCGATTCTTTTATTTTCATTTTTCTTATACCTTCCTTCTTCTCCTTCCACTTCTTCTTCTTCTTCTTCTTCTTCTTCTGACCTGTTGATAGGTTTGGACAGCTCTTAGTCGTCAAAGACAGTGAGTGGGATGGATCAACGCTGGGACCCCTTCCTGGCATCCGAGAGACTCGGGACGAACAATGGCGGCCGATGCTGTGCACAAGCAGGGGTCGCCCCAGGGTGCTTAATGCCGCGTTTATATGGAATGCACTGACAACCATGGTTCACCGGCGAGACCGCGCGAACAGATCACCAAAACAGCTCTGTTTGGATAGCCGTCCAATATTCCGACCGCGGTAAAGCCCTCGCGGCGACTCATGCACGGCGGCCGGCCCAGTCAACGAATATCCGAATCTGAACTTCGCCATGTGCCGGACATCTGCCTATCTTGTTCCCCCCTGCCTTAGGCCAACCCAATCGGTAATATAGTCGGGGATTGTCAGAAAACAGTGCTTGCGTAGCCATCATATCGGCACTCTCCGCGGCTGGTCATGTCATGAACCATCTCCTTTATCCTTGAGGTTCTCCGGAACACATGATTCATGGATCCGCATTACAATCCGAGTGCCAGGGTCCATGTTTTTGCCTTAAGCTCAATAGCCGGGACACGTGCGGTTGCATAGCATCGTTTAAAAGAACGGCCATCGTCCACATCATCTGGTACATCCTCTTTTGAGATCACCTCAGTCTTCACGCCTCCCACAATCGTTTCTGCCCTCGTTTCCTCTTGCCCAACCGCATTCCAGTGCGCGTCACATTCTTTAATTCCAAGACACTTGTCTATAATCTCTCGTTCGTTAGGACAACACGCCACGATGAAGACTTCCGCCGTCATCTCCTCTCTGCTCTTCCTGGCTTCCAGCGTCTCTGCTGATGGTCGTTACTGCTCTTGGCCACTTAAGCGTGTGATCACGAGCGTCAGGCCCGTTTGGACTGACCCGCAACTCGTCGGCGGCGTGTTTGTTGGCCCTTCCTCAACCACTGGCACTATCGCAGCCGGCTACACGTACACCGAGTCGTGGAGTATCACTGGCAGTATATCTGGTTCCAGTGGCTTGTAAGTCCGGTTCATTCCTTGTTACATGAGATCTAGAACCGAGAGCGCGACTCCAAGCGGTCGAGGACTTCTAGACTCCCACCTCGTACAAACAGCCTTTTTTTCGTTTCTATTCAGATCTAACTCGAAGTAATAGGGCTGGTATTGTAACCCTCGGTGTCTCGACTTCCTACGGACAAACAACTGCCAGGGGTACCTCCTTGACCGTCAGCATCGCGTGCCCGGCCAACGTCCGTTGCGGTATCACGGCCTCTACCTACGTTCTCGAGGTCAACGGTACCGAGACCCTCTACCGTTGCGGCAGCAAGGACAAGTACGACACGCAGTACCCTTGCCAAGACTCAGCCCCGGACCACTGCCCTACAACATTCTGGAACACTACCGACGGTGTCACGAAGCCCTTTACTGCCGTAAGATCGCACGCGGAACCCCCAGACGCAATGAGATTGTGATGCTGACAGTTGTCTTACCAGTACATCCCCCTGGCCAAGAGCTCTTCGAATGTTAACGAGCTGCTCGCTGTCAACTACAACGCTTGCACGGCGGGGACGCCTTACGCGGGTATCGCGACCTGCCCCGGATACTAGGCGGTGATGCGTAATTGTGGAGTCCTGTCACCATAGAAGTGGACGACGCGGGTCTGTGGCTGAGGTGGCCGGGTCAAACCCCTGAGGACGAGGAAAGGGGGGGAAGCCTGTGCTGAGGCTGAGGCTTACATACTTGGCAAAGTGACCACGAAGACGGCCAGAGCTTTGTTGCTCTTCATAAAAGATGGTTTTTGCAATTGAGAGGGTTGCATGCCGTCTTGATCCACGGCGCCGGTGGTTGTAAGGCATGAAGATCTCGAGGCAGACTCGAGCCCGCTGATAGTAGCTAGGCTCTTGAGAAGAGCACGAGACGAACCTACCTAGTCCGTCTTCTCCAATCTACTACTAATGCACGAGTTTGCTATCCTTGAAACCTGCGTATTAGTCCCGTGTCCCATGTCCTTAAGATACTGCTTGATGTCATTGGTCGAACCGACTAACACCCCATGCCCTAGCAGCGAGCGGCAGGGTTGGGAATAAGTATACTTAAGTAAGTATTTCAAGGTTAAATACTTACTTAAGTATACTTGCTAAGGTTAAATACTTACTTAAGTATACTTATTAAGGTTAAATACTTACTTAAGTATACTTAAGTATACTTAAGTATACTTAATAAGTAAATAAAAATAAATAAAGATAATAAGAAATTAAAAAGAATTATATAACAATTCTATATATAGTAGTTTTTAACTAAATATAAAAAAACCTAGCTTTAAATAAAAACTTTATAATTTATTTTATTAACTAATTAATTATATATTATAACTAATATAATTAAAATAAGTAATATAGAAAATATATAAATAGTTATATATAAAGTAAGTATATATAATGCAATTTATTTATATTATATAATACTTATTTAAGTAAGTAATATAAATAGTATTTTTAAATATATATTATATATAGAGAGTTAATAAAAAAAATACAAATTTAATATAAGTGTTAAGGCCTTTTAGGTATAGCTAAATTATATATATATATATACTAGCTTATATAGTATATGAAAAAATATATAGAAATATATTTTAAGCTATAGTTACTATTCTAGATTTAATAATATTTCTATTTCCTATTTAGGTAAACGCCCCGCTTTTTAATCCTAGTTTCTAAAACTCTATTTTTAGTATATATACTAACATATATTATATTTTGTCTACAGAAAAATACAATATAGATATAAGTTATATTTACTTAAATATTTTAATATATAGTTACTGAAAATAAAAACTATATTAGTAAACCCTTGTAATAATTCTTAGATCTATACTATATATTAATTATATAATTTATTATCTTAAGTTAAGCCTTATAAGTATTATATTTTTAAAAAAATACAATTCTCTATATAAAATATAGTTTTAACTCTCTAATTATATATTTTAAATTAAGTAAGTATATATATAAATATATATAAAGTAAGTATATATATATATATATATATATAAAGTAAGTATATATATATATATATATATATAAAGTAAGTATATATATATATATATATATATATATATATATATATTAGAAGTAAGAATATCTCTAAGTATTCTTATACTTCTTTATCTTATATTTCCTCTATTATAGAGGTTATATATATATAAGATATATATATTTATAATCTACTTACTTAGTAGATTAATATATATATTGATTACGTAAGCATGCCTGATTACGTAATCAACCGAAGATTGGAGAAGGTACTAGAATGTCTAAGATCTCTCTAGATCCTACCTTCTACCTCTGTTGTTCCTATAAGGTTATTGTTTTAAGTTAGGGTTATTTACTTAAGGTTATTATATTACGTAACTAAGGGTTGATTTATAAGCAGCTTACGCAAGTATGGAATATTCTAGTAAGCTGTATAGGTCTATATAAGGGCTAGAATTCTTCCTGTTTTTAGTTTCTTTTCCTTCTCTCTCTAAGCAAGCAAATAGTTAATAATCTAACTACTATACTCTCTTTTAACTATATATCCTTATATCCTCTATTTATCTACCCTAGGTATAAGCATTTATATCTCCCTTTTATCCTATATTCTTGCTTCTATAGGATATATCTTTATATAAGAGATATACTCTCTTATATTCTCCTAAGCTAGAATTCTCTATCTAAGAGACTAGCTTACCTGTTGTGCTAATAATATATAACTATATAAAGTAAGTATATATATAAGAGTTATATATACTCTTAAGTAGCCTATTTATTTATCTATTTATAAAAGTAGATTCCTTATACTATCTTTTCTTTATAAGAATATTAAGGTAGAAAGAGTAAGTCCTTAGTATCTCTTATAACTAAGAGAAGTATTAAATATCTACTATAAATAAAGGCAGTATAAGTCCTACTATAAGCAGCATAAGGTCCTTTATCTAAGAGGTAGCATAAGTCTTAATAGGAGCTATAAAATCCTCTAGCTGCCTATATATCTTATATATATAAAGATATATATTTATAAAGAGGTAGAAAGAGTAAGACCTCTATAGGTTATAAGAATACCTATTTAAATCTAGTAAAATACTAAAAAAAATAGCGGATATTATTAAGGCTACTACAGGCTGTTTATTACCTCTAGAACAACGTCTCTAGGGTATAAAGAATTAGAATTCCTAGATTACTTCTATTTATCTCTTTTTTAAGCTATTAAAGCTTAATACTTATTTTGAAGAAGAGATAAGATATAAGGATATCTCTAAAGAATAAAAAATATAAGCCTTGTTAATTATAAGGCAGAATCTTTAAAAAGATCCCTTATTTTTAGTATTTAATTTAAAGAATCCTAAGGATACTTTAAATATACTAAAATTATCTTAGAAGGGAACAGGCCTTATTCTAAGGTAATAATTATACTTAGAATTTTACGCTATTAAACTAGAGAATTATAATACTTTAAATAAGTTTATTAGCTCTTTTAAAGGTTATATCTCTAAGTTAAATAACGTAGGGGCTAAAATAGAAGATATAGACTAAAAACTGTCTTTATAGCTACTTTAAGTAGCTATTTTCCTGTCTAGGTAGAAAGATAGAGAAGTGCTTTAAGAACTAAAAAGCCTCCTTCTCTAGAAGCCTTTATTAATAATATATTAGACAAAAACTAGCGTAAAAATAATACGCCTATATCTAATAATTATAGTAGAAATCCTTTTAATAATAAGGATAATTCTACTAAAGATTATAAGAATCCCTTTAATAAGGATAAGAAACCTTATAAGTAAGGAAATAAAGGGTATAAAAGACCTAAAGAAAAAGTTAATAACCTAGATTTAAACCTACAGCCTTTTAAAGGTAAAGAAAGGGCAACTTTCACTATAAACTATTAAGCTAACTAGCCTCTAGAAGAGGATAACTAAGAAGGTAAATATTACACTTATAAGGCCTATTATAACTGTTTAAATTAAAGAAATAAATAGTTATATAATATAGGTTTAATAGTCTATATATTAAATAATAAGGACTTTTACCTAGACCTATTAACTAAGGAAAATATTCCTATAGTTAATACAGGAGCAGGACCTATTAAACCTAAAGGAATAGGAACTATTTTACTTCCTATTTACTTTAAAGGGGAAATTAACTATATAAGGTTAAAGAATACCTTATATATACTAGAATTTCCTATATCTATATTTTTAGGCCTTCTACACTATAAAGGAGGTAGATTCCTTATTAACTAGAATCTTTATAGTAGTAATAGAGAACCTTTTGCTAATATTAATATAGCAAGAAGAGGTTTCTACTTAAATATTACTTATCCTCCTAAAAATAATCTTCTATATAATATAGATATAGAAGAAAAAAAAGGCCCTTTTTTATCTCTAGAAAATACTAGAGAAAATATATCTTCTAATATAGAAGATAATACCTCTAAAGAAGAGGTATTTACTATAATAGAAGAATAGTATTAAAAATTAGGTCATCCTTCTTATCCTTACTTAGTTAAAACAGCTAAGTTAACTAAAGGAATTCCTTTAGAAAAATTAAAGGAAGAGGATTTATACTGTCCTCACTATATAAGCTCTAAGTTAACTAGGCAACAGCCTAAAATTAACTATAATAGAGCTACTTTTCCCTTAGAAAGAGTATATATAGATACTCTTAAAATTACCCCTATATCTATTAATAGAAATAACTACGCTATTCTATTTATAGATAATTATTCTAGCCTTAGAGATATTAAATTCTCTAAAACTAAAGAAGATATAATTAATATCTTAAAAAATAAGCTAGAATATTATAAAAATTAGGGGTATAATTATCCTAAACGCCTACGCCTAGATAACAGCACGGAATTTAATATAGGGGAATTATTACCTTATATTAAAGAAAAAGGGATTATTTTAGAACCCTTTACTCCCTATACGCTAGAGCAAAACAGAATAGTAAAAAGAATAAATAGAGCTATTCTAGATAAATCTAGGACTATTATAGCAGTAAATAACTTACCTAAGTTTCTATAAGATATTATTCTTAAAGAAACTACTAAGTTATTAAATTATACTACTATAAGAAGACTAAAAAAGACCCCTATAGAGGCTTTTCTAGATTATTTCTATCCTAATAAGGATAATAAACTAGATTTATTTAAATTAAAGAAAATAGGCTCTAAGGTCTTAGTCTATAGACCTAAAGAAAGGCGTATCTAATTAGATAAATTAAATACCTATACAGAAGAAGGTATTTATTTATCTATAGAAAGGAATAATATATATACTATATATATTCCTTCTAGGCCTTATAGGTCCTCTATAGTAAGGACCTTACATATTAAATTTATAGAAAGTACTATAAGAGAGGGAGAAAAAACTACTATTCCTTTTAGTACTTCTATAAATAAGGAAATTATTCCTTCTTCTAATATAGAGGTTAGATTACCTTCTATATCTAAAGAAGAAAAAGAAAAATATAAGGCCTATAATAATACTATAGAATATAACTATAGTATTAAACCTCTAGAGCCTACTACTTTAAAATAAGCTCTAGAAGGACCTGAAAAAGACCTCTGG